CTGACATTTTAAAGTGGAAATTACAAACTTTAGAAGCCTTTTTAAACCTTGAATACATTTCAAGTTTGTATTTCCTGGAAATTTCCTGAAACAACAGGGTGATCAAATTAAGACGGCATCTGTATGTGTCGTGTTTAGCATTGTGTCTGACCTGCTCTTGGTAGTGATTCCTCTCATATTAACCAAAAACTGTGTGTGTGAAGCAACATGTCCTGTGTCCGGAATGTTATCACAGAGTCTCAAGTTCAGGAGGGATAAATACTCTGGAGGAGACGATGCACACGTAACACATTGTTTCGTAGATATAAGCAAATGTTTTGTAGAAATAAGCAACTGTTTTGTAGATATAAGCAACTGTTTTGTAGATATAAGCAACTTTTTCGTAGATATAAGCAACAGTTTTACAGAAATAAGCAACTGTTTTGTAGAAATAAGCAACTGTTTTGTAGAAATAAGCAACTGTTTTGTAGAAATAAGCAACTGTTTGTAGAAATAACTGCCTAAAGTTAGGGTGTCTCTCTATTCATGTATGTGCATTCCAGGTACATTATCAGTCAACAGGTGTGTATGTGTGTGTGTGTGTGTGTGTGTGTGTGTCTGTGTGCTTTACTTAATTTTTTTTATTTTTTTGACTGATTTTGCTCGTGAACGCACCCCTGCAAGATCAGACATGCAGGTCCTTATCAGCAGGTTGAACAAACCCTGAGGACCAGTAACCCAGAGAGAGTCAATAAACTGCTGACTGACTGGGACAGCAGAGCACTGCAGACCTGCGTTCAAACACTACTCAAAATCTTTTCAAATACTTTAAACGTTTGTTTTACTCTGCCTGGAGTGCCAGGTGGTGCAGATTTGCACTTTTGGGACTATTCTCTTGGTTCCATTGCACCAGGTAAGCTTAATGAAGCAGAGATAATGTACTGTAAATTATTTTGAATACTAATTGAACCCAGGTCTAGATCACACAGAGAACACATGGCATGAGAACCAACCCCAACCTTATGGCTCCTGACATGTACATCACAGCCCAGAGCTGTGGTAATGATTGAAAAGTATGCCTGTAATGATGATAAGCTCTTTATTGTTCGGTAAACTCTGCCAGCCCTAAAGTTTAAGGCCAGAGATCTAATTAATTGATAAACTTTGACTTTGTAGTGCAATGCTGGCCGCTCTCTCAGAACGACTCAAGCACCTGCCTGTGGGGACTTGCAGGGTGTGTGTGTGTGTCTGTGTGTGTGTGGTGTGTTCAAGTCAAGGGCAGCTCTGCAAGAACTCCTGTCTTTGTGAGCAGGCATGCCAGGGTGTGTTTGTGAGTCCATCTAGCCCTACACGCCCAGCATGACACCCCGGGCTTCTCATTGAAGTAAAAACTATTCAGACATCCCTGTGCTGTTTGGAGATATATCTAACCAAGAGGGCAGACTAAAGGTACTGAAATAGTCCTGTACAGTTTCTAGGGGCTTTATACCTGCTAACAATGTTGACACAAAACAAACACAGAGCAAATCCTAATATGAGATTGTGTGCAAAACTCTTTATTTCGTGTAAATCTCATTTTACGCACACAGATGTCAGGATAGGATTCGGCCCAGAGAGTCTATGGCAGCGGCTGAGACAGAATTTCATCGGATGCAACAGCAGCAGGAAGGGTTTTGCTACTGAGGGAGGAGTGGTGATAATGTGAATGTTTGTTCTCCTGTGTTGTTTGAAGGTGGATGGGTGGTGGGTGCGCGGTAGGATGCGTGCCACGCTAGAAGCGGCGCGTTGCTATGAGTGCCCAAACCTAGGGACCTGACATCGAGGGCAGCGGTGCCATTTCGATCATTGATTCAATTTAATTTGTGCACCTCAGACACCGGGTGCGGATGACGGATTTACCCACGGCCGGGCTATTTAAATTACTTTTAAATCATAAAAGCAAAGAAACGAGGCGCGAGGGGAAGAGGTTGGGGGGGATAGGCAGAAAGCACTCGCGCGGCGGCCGCTGATTTCCCTGGAGCAAATTAGCTCTATATCAGACCTGGCGACAGGCGGTAATCTGCGTGATAGGGAGCAGAGAGGGGGTGGAGGGGTTGGTGGGGGAGAAGGGTGGCCGCCCCCGGCGTGTCACTGCTTCAATCTTCTAGGGGTCAGACGCAACAACAATAACCACACCCACCACCTCGCTGTGAGCGACGGTCTACAGCGGGGAGAGGAGACCATTTAAGCGTTTTATGCATCTTCCAAGGCCTGATTTCAATTTCTTGAGATATAATTTAGAGTCTTTCGGATTAGGTTGCGTGCCCCTTGGATTTTATGGGCCTAGTCGACTCCTCTTCCAATTCATGCGGCTCATTCGGTATTTGATTATTCAACTGTGCAGCAAGTCATAAGTGCCAGGACTATATCTGATTACTTATACTAATATTTTATAATATTGGAATATTCATTATAATTCAATGACAGTTATTATAAACTTTTTTTTTTGCCTCTAGGAGTGTCTATTTGGATCTCATTTTCGATTCTCATCCTATTCACAACTAGGCTAAATAAATCGCAAAAAATTGATTTGTGGATTATGTTTTGTGTCCTTGAAAGATTCCTTGATAAAATTGTTCTGATAATTTGAAAGTAAATTATCTAATCAGAAATAATGTAGTCCTGTTTTCACAACATAACTAAAGTCTGTTTTTATTAAAGTCTGTTATTATTCAAATCTAGCAGTTTATTCAAAAATATAAGCAAGAATAAATGCACAGGCATTTTATTATGTGACACACTTAGGATAATAAAACATATTTTGCAAACATTTCTGCTTTCGAAAATAGTTTGAAAATATGACATGCCATTGTTAAATAATGAATATGAAATTACCTTCATTTTATTATTAATTCATGTTTATTCAAATGAAAATCGAAGATGTGTTGTGTGTAGGCTACCATGGCATTTTTAGGCCTATACTTTAAACTATGTCTTTCAGAGATTGTTGCAAGATTGTTGCTGAGTGGAGCATCATGGATAAATAAATTGATCAAAGAATATATAATGTTCAATAACCTATAGGCCAACCATTGTGATACAACTATGAGCAATTGGGCTTTATATGTTTATTTCATAAAATATTACTGTCCTTTCAAAATAACTATCACTTAGGACCTTATAACAGTTGCTAGTGATTATTGGACTAGTTGCAGATTTGGTCTGGGGGTAGTAATTACAATAGTATCTCAGGAGTTAATGCCATGACGACGACGTGTTCTGCTTCTCCTGCTAGACCTGTTAGAAACTGGATCTTTGTTCTTTTTTTAAGTGCTTACGGCTCAACAATGTGCACATGATCTGAGGTGAGGACCACCTACAGTAGGCCCTATGCCTGGTTTCGTTCACACACCTGCCCGCATTCCTCCTCAGGGGTCAGTCAGATAATGCAGATTGCTTGTTTGTATGGTGGCTGTTAAAGGTGGGAGACAACAGGGAGATTCCCCATAGCGCACTGACCGGAGCCGGGAGGCAGGATGCAGTGTTGTTGCACCACATGCAGACATAAAGAGAGCAAAGCAATTGTTATTCTGCTTCTTATTGCTGCAAATAACTTAAAACCTTATGACACATACCAATATAAGCCTATTTCACGTTTAAAACTAACGGTGCTGATTTAAAACGAGTTGTGAGGCCTAACTAGGAATATGACAGACTAATAACTGACAAATTATTATTTAAATGATGTTGTTTTTCTGATTTCTATCATTTCTTATGTTTTTACATGATTACCGATGTGCTGTTGGCCTATGTAAATAGGCCTAATTACTTAGGCTATTAGAAATTAGTCTACGACATGGAAGATAAGACGTGGAGTTTGACCTATCTATTCGATGCTAAATCACATTTATATTGCACTCTTTTACGGTTTATGTATAATTCTAGCTCATAAAATTGAATTACATTGGTATTTCAACCTGCAGATACCCATGGGTTTTAAAATAAGCAAATCGTTAATATTGTACTAATTAAAACATAAATCACTTGCCAATATTTCCTCTGAATAGACATGCAGAACAGATAATGATAGCAGGATTTATTTGATTTAGGCTATAAATATATCAAAATGAGCAAAAACTACAAATATGTGACATACTTGTATTATTTTCGTCGTCATAGTTATTATTATAATCACAATGTGGTATCTTATGTTTAAACAATCATCATCATTATTGTAAATATTGTATACATTTGTAATAATAGCTATGTAATAACTATTACATTATTTGTCCTATTATAGCCTAGCCTACTTGAATCTTATTATCTGATTCAGGCGCGTACATAATGTAACAACACATACAATAGAAAAGGCTAATATTGCTACCAGCTCTCGCAGTCTCACGTCACAATTAGACACAGCAGAATGTGTTGCTGACAGACAGAGGGAAAGAGGTTGGACATATCTCACGCAGGAGACGCGTGAGGCGCGTTCAGAGTGTTCTTGAGTCGCGTGGAAATGAGAGAGTAATTAGTTAATTAGAAAACGGTCTACTAAACTCACCCCTCGAGCACCTGCACGAGCCAATCACAGCTCAGACAGCCACAGGGGTGGGAAGACCGCGCGTGAAGGAGTGAAACACTTGCTTTAGTTGGTTAAGTTGCTATTAAACACCAAGACCTGGCTGTTAGTCATCACATGTGATGTGAATGCGCGGATAGAGGACTACAGAAACCAAATGGACACTTGGAAAGCATTGCAATTTAATATTTTGTTGTATCATTGTTATTTCCTAATAATTTAAGCTCTTCAGAGATCTTCAGCGAATACTGTACCAAAACTGTTCCAGGTAGTTGATAGCGAGGGGATGAGCTAAGCTAACGAGCCTGCTATCGAAACGCATACCAAAGGTGTCTTGTCTCAAATGTATATATCAGTGCTCTGACTTATTTTGGTTACGAGAGGGTTGCACTGGCATCCTCACAGTGACTTTTATCAAAAAGTGAAATAAACATTTAAAACAGAAGATTGGAGTTGGAGCCATATGCGCTCTGACGCACAGAACAAGTGTACATTGGCAGGTCTGACCTTTGAGCAGCTCGCGGCAGTTTTCCTGATGAGAGCGGGAATGGAGAAATCGAATAATTTTCGAATCGATGCTCTGCTGGCCGACGAGACTCACCGGGGGAACCGAGACCTCTCCCCAGGTCTGAGCAACGACAGCCCCGCGGGCAGCCCCGTGTCCTGTCGGCGAGCGGACACCCCGTCCCCGCGCGGGACGCCCATCCATCTTCAAACCGGGATAATCCCCAAACCGGGACTGCTGAACCTCCCTCACACAGGACTCGCCTCGCTACCCCAAATGTACCCGGCCCCTATGTACCCATTATCGGCTTTGGGTGGCCAGCACCCTGCCTTCGCCTACTCCGGCTTCACTCACCTAACCCAGCCGTACCCAGACCACCTGAAGGCGGCTGCCATGGCAGGGTCTCTCCCGCTGGAACACTGGATCCGGGCTGGAATGATGATACCACGTCTTCCAGACTACAGTTGTAAGTATTATACACCTGTGGGCTAGGTAGCACACTCAATAGGCTGTACTCTTTTACAAATATATCAACAAACGAAACATCTTTAAAAGACAGGCATTATGCGCTAGGCCTATATAGTTTCTTTTAAAATCTGGGGTTATAAATGGAGTTTAACTGTCTGTTGGAGATGTGTTTTTGTGCTTGCTCAGAACACATAGGCAATATAATTAATATAGCCAAGCAGATGCAAAACTAAGCCTAATTGCTGTAATCTATTATGTTTTTCAAATAGGTGTGGCGGGTATCACGCAGAAATTAATTTACCCCCAGATACCGGAGGTTTATTGGTAGGGAAGGGATCGTTTGATCACTTAACAACCACTTCCAAAGCATTGAACCCAACCGCCTAGAGGTGTCATAAAATCACTTATTGTTCCTCATTGCATGTAATCCAAAGGTGAGGGAAAGCAAATACAGGTACACACACACACACACACACACACACACACACACACACACACACACACACACACACACACACACACACACACACACACACACACACACACGTTATAACCATAATCAAATATATGTTCTAAGGTTAGGCTAAATGTTGCAATCAACGTTAGCAAGGTGTGCATAACTTAAACGTATTTGATACCAGTATTGATAACAAAACTCACTGTATTATAATATCTCTCATAACACATTTTACAAAATAATAATAAAAATAATCTGAAGAATAACAACAACAACAACAATAGTAATAACAATAATCATACATTTCAATTTGTAAATAATGAATACATCTAATAAGTAGGTTATTGGTTAATAATACTTGTTATTATATATTTATTATAATAATATAGTATTACTAATTGTATTAATATTATTTCTAACTATTGCTAAACATTTTACCAATCAGGCAAGATCTGTTTCAAACCATTTATATTTCAATTTAAGAGCAAGCACAATAGGGCTATATACAATGTATTATCATAGAATTTTTATATTTTTATGTGCATTATATCATGCTATAGGCTTATATTAATCTACTTTTAGAGCAATATTTAAACACATATTTTTAACTGCTTTGTGAACAAATAATAGTGCAAATTCAACCTCTATGATAGACAGGTTTTGTTATTTGTTCAGTCATTAATACACAATGTCTGAAAAATATAGGCTACTTTAAATATGATCTAGAAGTATAGGCCGAAATATTCTTTAAGTGTAGCCTCATGAAAAGTCTTCGATCGATTTACTGCTAATTGTAATATCATGTTTTAATTTTTGGCCTTTTCATTTCGCTATAAACGTCAACTCGATGAAAATTGTCTTTGTACTGAGGAGCAAACTATAAACAAACACCTAAAACATTCTGTTAGTTCGTCAATAAAATCACAAAAGCTTCATCGAATTTTCATTAAGTTAATGGTGCTCGCGCTTTTTATGGCCCTCGCGCCCAGCTTCTGCCGTGTCCTCTCGTCAACAATAAACTGGAGTAAAGCTATTATAGTTAATGGTGGCGAGAGAGTGCGGGCATGTGTGTGTGTGTGTTCCTCCCACAACGTTATATTGGACTTCCTATGTCCTTGGTATTGCATAAATGAGACCATTGAAACAGTCTGAGATTAAATCTACTCACTTTGTCCTATAGCTTGAATTTACCAGAATACAGGCCTAGTAGCCTACACACCTCATTATATTTGGGATGAATATAGTTGGGGGAAATTAAGTTATTGATTAGGCCAGAGTCATTGACACTTTTTAAGGGGACATTGTACTGTCACTGAAGAAGATTGTACTGGAAGAAAGGAGAGCTGAGACCGGAGCTCTCGGTGGCAGCGATTCTGTCTCGAGAGGAGCTGAGCAGAGCGAGCTCTCTCAAGGTCTCTGCGCTGGCTCTCGCTCAGATCTCTCTACTCTCTCTCTCATTCTCTCTCTCTCTCCTCTCTCTCTCTCTCTCTCTCTCTCTCTCTCTCACAGCACCCCAGGCAGGACTCCTGGGGAAGTGTCGTAGGCCCCGGACAGCTTTCACCAGTCAGCAGCTCCTTGAACTGGAGAACCAATTTAAACTCAACAAGTACCTGTCCAGACCCAAACGCTTTGAGGTGGCCACCTCTCTCATGCTGACCGAAACACAGGTGAGAGAGAAAAAGGTGTCATTCTGTGTGAGTGTGTGTCTGTGTGCGCGTGTCTACATGTGTATGTGTGTGGATTCCCACCTGGTAGGCTATTCCAGCACTGGCCTTTTACCCTATGTGCCTCTGTGAAGAATCTGTACAAATGATCCCTGGTGTGTTTGTCCCTGAGATAAACTGTCCGCTATGGCATGCTCCATTAGTCACTGGAGAGTAATGTAAAGTTAGACAGCAGCAATCAGACCACTAGTTCCTTATTTAGCTAATATATTACAGCTCTCTTGTTTCACCTGCCTCGTCTAGTCCCAAATACCACCTCATTAATGAAGCTGTTGACATGTTGATTTAAAAGATCAACTCCTCTGTGTTCGAACCTAATCAGCACATTTTTGAATTACTTCTTCAGATAAATCCCTCTGCTTGGCGAGTAACAGTTGTTTTGGACATTTCAGCCCAGTTTAGTAGAAAGAAAATGGCAGCCCAAATGTACTAAGCTGAGTGTGGGGATAGAGAGAGAGAGACTGCTGGTGAGAGACCTCTACTCCTGCCTTAGTGTGTGGCTGACAGGCGTGCATTCTGTCTCTCCACAGGTGAAGATCTGGTTCCAGAACCGGAGGATGAAGTGGAAACGCAGCCGCAAGGCCAAGGAGCAGGCATCTGTGTCTGCCCAGTCTGAGGCGGAGCGACTACGCACCGGGGGAAAACCCACCAATGGCAAATCAGCTGAGAATAGGCGAGCTTCCACTCAGGACAACGAGGGAGAGCTAGACCTAGAAGAAGCAGAGGAGGAAGAGGAAGAGGAAGAGGAGGAGTTTGCTGTTACCATGGGTGGCACCGTGGGGTTGCAGCGTTCAACAGACTTTCTGAAGCTCACAGCGGAGCTTGGTTACAACCCCCACAGTCCCTTCTCTGAGGACGACTTAGAGGGGGCGCCAGGGGGGGACAGGAAGACAGGCGCAGGGTTGTGAAAAGACTAAGACACACCCAGAAAGGAAAACGCCAGAGACACTGCTGCTTGACACTGGGTCTGGGGAAGTGGGGATCTATAGTGTAAAAAGAGAAAGAAATGGATGTGCCATTTCAAAAGCCTATGACAGTGTTTTGTGTGTACATAATGCTTAATGCAGTTTAATGATTCTGTGGCCCTGAAGGAGTCGTTTAAGGCAGTGGTTCCCAAATTCCAAGGTTTAAAAAAATAAAACAACAACATTTATGTTAGTCATTGCATACCTTAGAGAGCTATTTACAGTGGTGGAAAAAGTACTAAATTGTCATACTTGAGTAAAAGTATAGACACCTTAATAGAAAATGACTCATGTAAAAGTGAAAGTCACCCAGTAAAATACTACTTGAGTAAAAGTCTAAAAGTATTTGGTTTTAAATATACTTAAGTATCAAAAGTAAATGAAATTGCTAAAATATACTTAAGTATCAAAAATAAAAGTAAAAGTATTAATGATTTCAAATTCCTTATATTATGCAAACCAGACGGCACAATTTTGATTGTATTTTTTATTTACGGTTAGCCAGGGGCACACTCCAACACTCAGACATTAATTTACAAATGAAGCATTTGTGTTTAGTGAGTCCGTCATATCAGAGGCAGTAGGGATGACCAGGGATGTTCTCTTGATAAGTGCGTGAATTGGACCATTTTCCTGTCAAAATCTAATGAGTACTTTGGGTGTCAGGAAAAATGTATGGAGTAAAAAGTACATTATTTTCTTTAGGAATGTAGTGAAGTAAAAGTAAAAGTTGGCAAAAATATAAATAGTAAAGTAAAGTACAGATACCCCCCAAAACTACTTAAGTAGTACTTTAAAGTATTTTTACTTAAGTGCTTTACACCACTGGCTATTTATAACTTGTCAGAAATGTCCAGATCAACTAGCCCATGTCAGCTAATGTTTTTTTATTTAGGTTTTTTTGCCCATAGATATTGTTGTAAATTTGTTGTCATTCAAATATCACATGAATACACATTAGACATGGCAAAATGTAAAGAATTGCAAGAAAATTAGCTATAAAACTGCAAAATGTTCTTTGCACCCCATGACAAAATGTGTAGAATTGCAGGAAATGAGCTTTAAACCTGCAAAATTCTCTCCACCAATAAGAGGGGTGTGAACAGTTTGTGTCATGAACAGTGCTTGTGCCCATAGAAATAGACATGGCACGCACACGCAGGGGGGGGGGGGGGGGGGCGTGGGATGTTCCCCAATGCTGGAAAGGGGGCCCGAGTGAACAAGTTTGGGAACCCCTGGTTTAAGGTATAGGTGTCCTTTAGGTTGGACTCACATCTCCAAGGGTGAGGTTATATAAAGCATCTTATATTCATCATCACATCAATTAAGGCTAAATAAGACACTGAACCCTGTCTCTTTCTACTGTATATTTCGATTGCATGCCCCCCAATTTTTTCTTGTTATACAGGACATTCAGCCTCCTGTGTTTTTCATCCAATTGGACTGAGAAGTACTGTAGCAGCAGTGAAGCAGTGAACACAACTGACCTCTATTACCTTGTCATCCATCTCAGCTGAACTCCACCCCCTGATAGGCTGACTGACAGATGTGGCTCCTCCCACAAGCAGTGCTAAAGGATGAGATGTAACCAAGTTACATTCAGAACTGTTGGACTGTTGCAAACTGTAACTTACACTGACTGGAGTGAACAGACCTTGAGCAGTTTGCATTTGCTGAATAAGATGGGGAAAGTGTTGCAAAGTGTTGCAGAATGTTGCAGAATGTTGCGTGATGTTACAATTGTGAATGTGCCCCCATGAATGTCAGACATCTTGGATTTACAGATTTTCTATGATGTCTCATAAACTCTATCTTGTGTGTGCAATTGAACATTGTTGTCATGGAAATTCAGATTTCTGTTGTTATTGTTGTTTGTTTGTTTATTGTTGTTATTTAACCACATTTAAATGTATCTAATTTATTTTAATTGACAGATGAATGGCAGGGAAAAAGTAATTGTATTTATCTGAAACTGGTCTGTGTTGATGTCAACTGCGTGAAATAAAAAAACAGCAATGAAAATTGTTCAAATAACTTGGGAAATGTATGATTTATGCAAAGTTAACTCATGAAAATGAGAGATTGATTTGTTGAGAACATTTAGAACAACTATAAGTAATCTAAAGTATATTAAAAGTGGGTTTAGTGGAGAGCAATGAGAGGGAGTTACACAAACACATTGAGCAGGCAAAAGTTGAGCATTTCTTTAAGAAAGTTATTAGTGTGTGGAGCCTTCATAATGACCTTGTGAGTCTTCTGCAAGCACAGAGGGATGGTAACAATAGGGTAGAGAGGTCCAACTATAAATCCAGCTAAAATAGACATATTGGCCAAATTTCTACTTCCAATCCCACTTAATGGAAAATCTTAATGCGTCACACCTCCTTCCCTTGTTTTCCGCCTAGTTCAGCCATCTTGTTGTCATAGGTAACAGACGGCAAGATGGCAAAGAGAAGGGAGGAGGATCCAACACTGCATATTAAACCAGCAGAGCCCCTCTAATTTACAACCCTGGGGCTTTCAAATATGAATTACTCAGGCGGGTTTACTGATAGTCAAATAATTAAGTTAATGAAGGAGAGGTAAAGGCTTGCATCCCAAATGGCACCCTATTCCCTATATAGTGCACGTCTTTTTAGGGATCTGGTCAAAAGTAGTTCACTGTATAGGGAATAGGGTGCCATTTGGGATGCACAAAAAGTAATCAGCGCCTGATGGTGATGTCACCCGGGCTCCATTTTAATTTGCAAGAAGAAACAGAGGATGATGTGTGTCTGACTGAAACGGGGCCGTTTTATTGGCCGTCCATGTACGGGCGGTGATTAAAAACCGGACTAGAGGACACACGCAGCATAACTCGTCTCCTCCCGCCAGCTCCCGGTGGGCCCTGGCCCACAACATCATGCTTATATAGTGATTAAATGCATTTTTAACTGGCCGGGCAATATGCTGGCCTGTCTCGTGAAACAAAGCCAGGATGGTTCTGCTGAATTTGAGACAGAAAGGGGCCTTTGTGCACAGCTACAGGTCTGGATTCAGTTTAGTTTTAGACTTGGTGGTAGTGGAGGGCAGTATGGGGTCAAGGGTCACTAGACCTAGATAAGTTTAAGGGCCATTTTCTGTTTGGAAATGGCTGGGTGCTCAGAAACTGAGCGCCGGACAAATGCAGTAATAGATAGTGATGGAACAAAGTGGAAAGACAATGATTGGAGTTATTGAATGTGTTTGACAGTGTAGTGGATTGGATTTAGTGTCTAAAGTTTTGAATGTGTTTGACAGTGTAGTGGATAGGATTTAGTGTCTAAGGTTTTGAATGTGTTTGACAGTGTAGTGGATTGGATTTAGTGTCTAAGGTTTTGAATGTGTTTGACAGTGTAGTGGATTGGATTTAGTGTCTAAGGTTTTGAATGTGTTTGACAGTGTAGTGGATTGGATTCATTGTCTAAGGTTTTTAATGTTTTTGACAGTGTAGTGGGTTGGATTTAGTGTCCAAGGTTTTAAATGTGTTTGACAGTGTAGTGGATTCGATTCAGTGTCTAAGGTTTTGAATGTGTTTGACAGTGTAGTGGATTGGATTTAGTGTCTAGTGGCTCACAATCAGGCCTCAAAAGCAGTTCTCTGTAGAGTAAACAGTGCTTATAGGCCTTAAAGCACTATGTCTCAGACCTAACCACTATGTCTCCCTCAATGCAGCATTTCATTTGGCTGATGAAAAATCATATAAATCAATAAGAGTTCATTTAGATGTGTGACTAATGCCATTCGGCCTGTTTTATGATACAGGGCCGCCTGACAAGCACAACTAAAATCATAGTAAATTGATAAGCAGGCTGAGAGAAATATAGAGATCATTGATTCAGTTTCTCAATTCTAATTTAATTTGAACTCACCTGTCATATTGATTAAAAATTCTTAGTGTAAATTCCAGCCACTGGTGATAACGCTGTCAATGCTGATTTCTCAACAGCCTGGTCTGACAGAATTGCTGACGGCCCCAATGCTTTTTTTATACCAATAATGCAATCACCTCATTGTGTGTGTGTGCGTCTGTGTGTGTGTGTGTGCATGTCTGTGTGTGTGTGCATCCATGCGTGTGTATGTGTGTGTGAGTGTGTGTGTGTGTGTGTGTGTGTGTGTGTGTGTGTGTGTGTGTGTGTGTGCATCCATGCGTGTGTATGTGTGTGTGAGTGTGAGTGTGAGTGTGTGTGTGTGTGTATAAAATGTTGTCCTGTCTATTACATTGTCACAATCACTCAAGCCCCCCGCCGAGACATCAATGCGACCCACACGAGTCCTCCAATACGGAAAATGGATAACAGGAAGGCCATTTTCATAGTGAAATAAATAAATGCAGGTTTCTTTCACTTTGTCATATGGTAAATCAGGAAAAATAACTTAAGCGGCAAGACCCTGTAAAATATTTACACCCTGTAGTTTAATCAATCAGCAAAATGTCGGCCTCATTACGGAAATATGAACAGATTGTCTGATCTTTTAAAGTAATCACCCATATTGGTTTAGGTTTCCCTTGGCCCTGTCGTGTTACTTAAGCTAATGGGTAGGCTTCGTAAGGGAATGAGGGACAGGGGCCGTAAATTCACATCTGTCAGACTTTAACCGCTGTTCAAATGCATGAAAAAGGCCAAGTTTTGGGTATTAAAGTTTATTGGAAAGGGTTGGCCCTCCGTCGGAACAGTGGGGAATGTAATCATGAGAGGCTTTTATTGTTGCAGGAAATCTATATTACAGGTGCTTAGAAAAGCAATGATCGTGACACAACAAAGCTTTGGTAATTGTGCTTGTCCCAATGTCATTCTCCAGACCGACAGACAGGCAGACAGACAGACAGACAGACAGGGGTCTCACTGTCATGGACACAGAGCTGGGGACCCGGCCCACCTTTTGAAAATCCAAACAGATCAGACAGCTTAATAATAATAATAATAATATGCCATTTAGCAGACGCTTTTATCCAAAGCGACTTACAGTTGTGCGTGTATACATTTTTTTTTTTTTGTGTATGGGTGGTCCCGGGGATCGAACCCACTACCTTGGCGTTACAAGCGCCGTGCTCTACCAGCTGAGCTACCAGCTGAGCTACAGAGGACCACAGCTTAGATAGGCTGGGATCCTACTCATATCACACAACAAAACCATTAATGCTATAGGCCTACATCATTCAGTACCCCTTACTTTTACATTTTAGTCATTTAGCAGACGCTCTTATCCAGAGCGACTTACAGTTAGTGAGCGCATACATTTTTCAATACTGGTCCCCCGTGAGAAACGAACCCACAACCCTGGCGTTGCAAGCGCCATGCTCTACCAACTGAGCTACACGGGACTATCAGTGGCTTGGTATATGTCAGTATCCCTCCAGTGGCTTGGTGTATGTCAGTACCCTCCAGTGGCTTGGTGTATGTCAGTACCCCTCCAGTGGCTTGGTGTATGTCAGTACCCCTCCAGTGGCTTGGTGTATGTCAGTACCCCTTCAGTGGCTTGGTGTATGTCAGTACCCTCCAGTGGCTTGGTGTATGTCAGTACCCTCCAGTGGCTTGGTGTATGTCAGTACCCCTCCAGTGGCTTGGTGTATGTCAGTACCCTCCAGTGGCTTGGTGTATGTCAGTACCCCTTCAGTGGCTTGGTGTATGTCAGTACCCTCCAGTGGCTTGGTGTATGTCAGTACCCCTTCAGTGGCTTGGTGTATGTCAGTACCCCTCCAGTGGCTTGGTGTATGTCAGTACCCCTCCAGTGGCTTGGTGTATGTCAGTACCCTCCAGTGGCTTGGTGTATGTCAGTACCCCTTCAGTGGCTTGGTGTATGTCAGTACCCCTCCAGTGGCTTGGTGTATGTCAGTACCCCTTCAGTGGCTTGGTGTATGTCAGTACCCCTCCAGTGGCTTGGTGTATGTCAGTAACCCTTCAGTGGCTTGGTGTATGTCAGTACCCTCCAGTGGCTTGGTGTATGTCAGTACCCCTCCAGTGGCTTGGTGTATGTCAGTACCCCTCCAGTGGCTTGGTGTATGTCAGTACCCCTCCAGTGGCTTGGTGTATGTCAGTACCCCTCCAGTGGCTTGGTGTATGTCAGTAGTCTACAAATGCTTCTTCACCTTTTCTCCTTTCCTTCATCCCTACTTATCTGTAAATAATGGATCGATGAAAGTAAAATAGTGGATGTATACTGGGCATTCACTTTAGTGTGTCTAGTTCTCTCAGATCAACAGCACCACTATTTGCCCATATGGTCCTTGTATAGTGGTGTAAACACACCCTCCAGTGGCAGCGAGAGAGAGAGAGAGAGAGAGAGTCTAAAAACTCACATTGTTATAATTTCAAATAGATGTTCCAAATAAAAATAAGCATTTCTCTCTGGCCTAATTGTGTGGTAGTGGCCTGTGGCCAACATCATTTGTGTGATCTATTTATAATAATAATAATAATAATAATAATATGATCCATAATCATATCCCCAGCAATTCATTTTTGTCCTCTCAAATGGACATGCGTTTTTGGTCTGTATCTCTAAGGCCATACATGCCACTGTGTTAGGTCCCGTAATTCTTTGCTTTTCAATTATATCATGTGTGTGTGGGGCGGGGATATTTTCTTTTGGTTCTTCAAAATGGCTACCATCACATTTACCATCACAATTACCCAATTTTATGGTGTAATTGTGTAATGATCATTTTTGACAGTTTGATATTCAAATCGTTTCTAATAGGTCAATATCTAGTTTGGTGAGTTTTCAGAGTAGTGTAATAAAATAAAATAAAATCCACATTAAATAAGAGCTAAATAAAAGCTGGTTAATAAATGTCCTCTGTAATGTTTACTGTAATGTTGACTTTTTATATATTTACTATCAACAGAGTCTTAATGGCCACTACAGTCCACATACAGTCAAAAAAACAATACATATGTTTCCTTTGTAACATGGTTTTTTGCACCTCAAACCGTTATTTGATGTAAAAAAATATACATATATTTACATTCCAAAACCATTTTTTTTGCTGGGTCTCAGGTGGATAGAAGTCAGCGAATGCGTATTTACTGCGCAGGAGGCCTCGCGAAGTTGCGTGGGCGGCGGGCCAAATGAGTCATGGTTAGCAAACCATAATTATTTTCCTAACCTTAACCTAATTCTAACCTGCTACGTTAACTCTCCCAACCTGCTGCGTGAATTCTCCTGACCTGCTACGAAAAGTCACATCTGACAAAAGCTGTATCCCATCTAGTCAAATCCAGTCGAAGGGGCGGTCTTGTCAAATCACAAAGTTCCCATCATGCCATAAATTTATAAAACTATCCACGTGGTTCTCGTCTCTGCCATATTACCAGACAGAGAACGTCAACCGAAATCATTCAAAACTCAGCGGACTCATCTCAACGCCATGGCCTGTTCAGAACTTGGTAAACTTTTTTTTGTTGTTGTTGATATTTTACCTAGCATTAGCTAACGTAGCTAGAGACTGAGGAGTCTAGGTTGAAGAATAAGCTTGCGTGTGGGTGTTGCTTGGTCCAGGTCCAATTCAAGTGTTGCTTGTGTCGTGCTAGGTATGCTAGCTACAACTAGCATGCCACCAAAAACATGCTTCCATTTTAGTTAGCAACCGGTGGCTACAAAGTAACAAACTATCGATGACTACTCTCCATGGAGTCAGAATGTGTACCGAGATTGAAAAACAGGCTACATTTCACAGCAGTGGTGCCATTCAATCAATGCCAACAACTTTGTCACCTTTTTCCTTTTAATTCTATCCATGCAGCACTGTTGAGTGTGTCCGACAAGTCTGGACTTCTGGACTTTGCCAAAAGGCTGGTGAACGTGGGACTGTCACTGGTCGCATCAGGTGGCACCGCCAAAACCTTGCGCGAGGCTGGACTGGCTGTTCGGTAGGTGTACCCAGTCTACATAAGTTTCCAATGCCTCATCTATCTGTGATGATTGTGTTCAGCCACCAACATTCTCTTGAGATAATGCTAAACTGAATCAATGTTATGCTGACAACAATGTATTCCTTCAAGTCACCTTACTATTTGCCACTTCAGAGAGAGCAGGCCTATCTGGTATCCTGCCATCATTGACCACCTTTCATATGAGATGCATTCCCAGCCTCTTCATGCAATTGAGAATGAAAAAAAAAAAAAGAATGTGTGCCTCTGAAACGTCATCACCCAACATCCATCTCCCGTTTTGTTCCAGGGATGTGTCTGAGCTGACTGGCCATCCAGAGATGCTGGGCGGGAGGGTGAAGACCCTGCACCCTGCTGTACACGGGGGCATCCTGGCCCGACACACCCCTTCGGACAAGGCTGACATGGAGAAACTGGGCTATGGTCTGGTCAGGTAAGAGACAGGGAAGTGGGTTGAATTTGGCTCTAGACACTGACCTGTGATCAGATCTGTTTTTCTCAATAGTTAAGGGTAGGACTTGTCCTTCTCAGTCCACTTTTCTATACTTTTGTTCCAGAGCCACTACTGTTTTACTGCACTTTTTAGGGGTCTTTGAAAAACGGCCTTTTCGTGAACAAGCCGACCTGAAACACAATGCATGTGATCGGGCACAAGACTATTAGATTTGGCCCTAATGCAGGACAGTAAGGTTGTGTTGTGGAGTGGGGAGACTTAGGGAAGCATGCTTTGCTAATCTAATAACCGGCTAATTCAAATGCTGCTGCATCTGCACACATCTGATCGCGTGACACATTTAGTTTTTTGGGCCCCGGGAATCTGGTTGGCTGTTTAAGCTGCCAATTCCACATTCATGGAATGTGATTGGCTTTGAGGAGAAAGCGTGCAACGCATACAGCCTCTGAAATAAACCATGAATTCTCTCCTTTTAGAATTTGGAGCCTATTGGTGTGTATGTGTCACAATTGGGGTTCAAAGGCTGCAAAATGTGACCTGCTTAATTGACACATTCACGTTCCTATTTACAAAAAGCAAAATCTCACTTTAAAAAAAAGATTGATTCCCAATAAGGCATCTAGGGCACAAACAATGTGGGGGATTAAACAGCCATGATACTCATTACTTCAAATTGGTTAGATAGTTAGAAAAAACGTAGTGAAATGCATGGCATTTCTTGACTTGTATTGCTTTCCTCTGCCGGTCTTTGTCCAGGGTGGTGGTGTGTAACCTTTACCCGTTTGTGAAGACCATCTCTACCCCTAATGTGACCGTGGAAGACGCAGTGGAACAGATTGATATTGGTGAGTGGAATGTTAAAGCTGCAATATGTCACTTTTTGGGCGACCTAACCAAATTCACATAGAATTGTGAGTTATAGATATGTCAGTTATTCTCATTGAAAGCAAGTTTAAGAAGCGGTAGATCTGTTCTATGTGCACTATTTCTATGCTTCCCATTAAGTTTAGTTTTGCGGCTTTTACTTTCGGTTTTGTACACTAGCTTCAAACAGCTGAAAATACAATATTTTGGGTTATGTAAAATATCATTCACAACAGTTTAGATGGTACAATGATTCTCTATGATATAGTTGCTTGTTTTGGCACACAAACTGAAATTAGGCGAACTATTAGCATTTTAGCAACCAGGAAATGGCGGCGCAATTTCTGCATATTGTACCTTTAAGGCCAGCTCTACATTTTACATTCTGAAGTCTACATTCTACAACATGAGATGTCCCAGGTTGTCATGGCGATGACCCTGTTTGACCCTGGCTGTGTCCTCAGGTGGGGTGACCCTGCTCCGAGCTGCAGCCAAGAACCACGCCCGCGTAACCATCGTGTGCGACCCTGCAGACTACCAGTTGGTCGCCGTGGAGATGGAAGGTTCCAAGGGCAAAGACACCTCCCTGGACACCCGCAAGAACCTGGCCCTGAAGGTAACTATGTCAACTTGAAAGCACGGGTTGAAAGTGGACATTTTTACTTGGTTCTTTGACTCGTGTATGTCAACCTACTTTCTGGACAAGTTTTTGCCATGTGCTCTCCTTCTGCCTCCCTGTTCAGACAGGTCTGCAAACCTCAACTGTTGACAGAGGATGTAAAGTGATAGAGAAATAACATGCTTTCAGCTATCAGGAACCAAACTGTAGACAACTGGGGAGGGCCTCATAAGTCGATCTTTGACAGGTTATTGACCCTCTGTCAAAAGGATCAATTTGTACAATCACAGATACCATGGCTTAAATGAAGTCGGTAGTAGTCAACAATCACAATTGGGACACCGTAAAGAATTCAGGTCGTTGATTGTGTTTTTGTTTAATTTGGGTCAATGCGAGGTAAAGTTCAGAGTCCACTACCTCCCATGCTGCCCTCGCTTGTCCTTGGGGCCCTGTTCTTCAGGTCAGCCCACAGTATTCTATTGATCCAGTATTCCTGCACATTGTAAATATGGTACTGGAACTGACTCTGTATGTGTATATAGTATGCTTACGTTATCGTGTTATTTTTATATATTGTGTGTTTTTGGTCTACCTTATTTTTAGTATTATATTGATTACTGCATTCTTGGGGTTAGCTTGTAAGAAAGGCATTTCACTGTACATGTGACAGTGAGACTTGAAACGACATGGAGTAAAATGGACACATGATGTCCCTTGTGAAGGCCTTACAAATCTTACATTGATAGTTTGTACTAAAGCTGCCTCCAGATAAAACTGTAGAAGCCCATGTTGGCTTTGATCATGGAGTAGGATACAACACTGTCTGGTTAAACTGTTTACATTGGGCTGTGTTCATTAGGGCACACCGTAGCAAAACATTTTGCAATGGTAAACCAAAAATGAGCATTTCCTAATGGACATCCAGGTTTTCCCTTCCTGTTTCAGTCACTTTTCTTCCATGTGCTATCTACAGTTGGCCTTGTTCTGTCTCTCTCTCAGGCCTTTACTCACACAGCCCAGTACGATGAGGCCATCTCTGACTACTTCCGGGGCCAGTACAGCCGTGGCGTATCCCAGCTGCCCCTGCGCTACGGCATGAACCCCCACCAAGCCCCCGCCCAGCTCTACACCCTGCGCCCCACCCTCCCCCTCACAGGTAGGCTAAAACCTCACAGTATGTACACCCCCCTCCCACCCTCCCCCCTCACAGGTAGGCTACCCCCCCACCCCCCCCACAGGTAGGCTACCCCCTCCCCCCTCACAGGTAGGCTACACACCCCCCCTCACAGGTAGGCTACCCCCCCTCCCCCTCACAGGTAGGCTACAACCCTCACAGGTATGTTACACCCCCTCCCACCCTCCCCCCTCACAGGTAGCCAACAGTCTCAGAAATTACAACGGGCATATACTGACCCTCCCTTCTCTTCCCTCCATTACCTCTGTCAGTGGTAAACGGTTCTCCTGGGTTCATTAACCTGTGTGATGCCCTGAACGCCTGGCAGCTGGTCCGAGAGCTGAAGAGTGCCCTGGGCATGCCCGCTGCCACCTCCTTCAAACACGTCAGCCCTGCAGGTCAGACACACACAGTGCTTCCAATACATATGCCTACAGGATGGTACAAGGAATCCCAGTAACGTTGACCCAGACGGTGTCCTCTCCCTCCCTAGGGGCTGCGGTGGGTGTTCCTCTGAGTGAGGAGGAGGCCAAGGTGTGCATGGTGAATGACCTGCTGAAGGACCTGACCCCACTGGCCACAGCATACGCCCGGGCTAGAGGGTCAGACAGGATGTCCTCCTTCGGAGACTTCATCGCTGTGTCTGACGTGTGTGACGTCCCCACCGCTAAGATCATATCCAGAGAGGTAGGACTTCCGTTGTGTGTGTGTGTGTGTACGTCCTGTGTGTTTGCTGCATTTCCAACCCCTGGCTATCATTCTCAGGTCTCTGATGGCATCATCGCCCCTGGTTACGAAGAGGAGGCCCTCAGGATTCTGTCCAAGAAGAAGAATGGCAACTACTGTGTTCTCCAGGTATGATTGAAAATGGAAAAGCACAGTTAGAGATCATCCTATGTTGCAGTGTATCCTGGAGAATAAAAAAAAAAGTTGAATTCGATTGCATCTTATCACCAGTTGGGGGTGCTAAATGTCTACATCTGTGTGTCAGATGGACCCAGCCTATGAGCCAGACGAGCCAGAGGTCAGGGTTCTCTTTGGCCTCTACCTCAAACAGAAGAGGAATGGAGCTGTCATCGACAAGGAGCTCTTCAGCAACATCGTCTCCAAGGGCGCGGTGAGTGTCTTTGTGGTTTGTGCGTGTCTTGATAGTGTGTGTGAGATGCTCACTGATGACACGTTAGATTCTGACCTTTTGTCCTCGTCTGTCTCCTGTCTCAGCTGTCGGAGGAGGCGGTGCGTGACCTGATCGTGGCCAGCATCGCAGTGAAGTACACCCAGTCCAACTCTGTCTGCTACGCCAAGGATGGACAGGTAACCAACCTGGAGAGGGAGGGGACATGGGAGGTCATTGTTGAAATAGTGTTTAGTTTCCACAATTTTGTTGTCCGCTATACCCTTGTTTACCTTTTTCAGAAGTCTTTTTTTTATTTATTTTTTTATTCAAGAGGATGTACTGTAATGGCTTTTCTGGGTTAAAATCCGTCTCTCCGTGTGTACCAGGTGATAGGGATCGGTGCGGGTCAGCAGTCTCGTATCCACTGCACACGGCTGGCAGGGGACAAGGCTGATAACTGGTGGCTGAGGCACCACCCGCGGGTGTTGGGCATGAGGTTCAGGTGTGGGGTGAAGCGGGCGGAGATGGCCAATGCCATCGATCAGTACGTCAGCGGCACCATCGGAGAGGTGAGGGGTCAGCGGTCAATACAGGGACACGCACTCTACAGGATGTGAAATGCCTGTCATTGTCGACGTACAGTTCCGCTGTATGTTGATTTGTGTAGGTTCCTACTGTAGGTGTCTGTCCATTCTATATCTGATTCCAGATTGAAGTGTCTCTGTCTCCATCTCGTTCTCTAACTGTGTTCAGGGTCCGGACCTGGCAGTATGGAAGGCCATGTACGAGGAGGTCCCAGAGCCCCTGGGTGAGGATGAGAAGAGGAACTGGCTGAGCTCTCTGCAAGCTGTAGCGCTCAGCTCTGATGCCTTCTTCCCCTTCAGAGACAACGTGGACCGCGCCAAACGGGTAAACACACACACTGTGGCAAATTATTACTTTTCACTAGTCTAAGATGGCAGACTTTCCATTTTGAGCTTTTGGTTCTTTAGTTGTTCTCTAGCCTTCTAGTGCCTTCCAAGGTCTTTTCTGTTTGAAGTCCACATGGACTGATTATTCTGTGTGTGTTGTCTGTGTCTGTCTGTGTCTGTGTAGAGTGGTGTGGAGTACATTGCTGCCCCGGCCGGGTCCACAGCTGACGAGGTGGTGATCAATGCCTGTAATGAGCAGGGCATCACCCTGGTGCACACCAACCTGAGACTCTTCCACCACTGAATACCTAGTGTAGCTCTCATACAACCCAACCCCACACATTTGACACAGACCATTATAGCCCAATGACCCTGAGCAACTTAGAAGTAGCCATGTGTGCCGACGTGTTGGAGTTCGATTAATTGCTCTAGAATAGTGATCAGTAAAGGTACTAAGATGCATGTCGTTGTTTTTTTACATTTACACTGATTCATTCCTGTCCTACGGTTATCTTGCACAAACAGCATTCGTAATGCTGAGGATCATTCAGATTCTGTTACATTCCAATCTTGCTTTCGTAGTTGTATCTACGTTACTGTCTGGAAGGTCGAGTTTCACCATGAAATAAACTGTTTCTTGAGAAATCCTGTGGAATGTGTGTGAATATGCGAACACTGTATTTTACGTTACAGCAATATTAAGCTAAAAGTCGGGGGGTGGAGACTACACTAACATGGAATTGGTTTAAGATGGTCATATCATTGATCATTTAGTGATTTGATTTAGAATTTTAGGACCCCTTTAGGTATAAAAAAATTATAATAATATGATAAATGTATTGAATTTTGCCTTTACTACAATAGCTCAAACACATTCATAAATGGCAAAGACTGTCCCAAACAAAGTCCTAAGGAATAAGTGTCTGTCCTATATCTATAAGATCTAAGAAAGCGCAGGATATTTTATTTTTTGGGACATATTTAACCCCTTATTTTTGTTGGCACAACTACTTTCATTCATTTGTATTGGTTACCTTTAGACGAGTCTCGTGACTCTTGTGGGGGTGATCGAGCAAACAGTTCGGACGCGACAGACATTGGTCTGACGAACACCGCTGTAGCTCGGTCAACTTGCACCGCAGATGCGGAAGACAGTGCCTTCAGAAAGTATTCACACCCCTTTTACGTTTTCCACATTTTGTTACAGCCTGAATTGAAAATGGATTTAAATTGAGATCTGTTTGTTGCTGGCCTACACAATACCCCATAACTTCGAAGTGGAATTGTTTTTTTGAAATGTTTACATTTTAATTAATGAAAAGCTGAAATGTCTTGAGTCAAACTATTCAAACCCTTTTATGGCAAGCCTAAAGTCCGGGAGTAAACGTTTGCCACGAGTTGCATGGACTTACTCTGTGTGTAATAATAGTGTTTAACATGATTTTTGAATGACTACCTTATCTCTGTACCCCACGTACAATTATCTGTAAGGTCCCTCAGTCGAGCAGTGAATTTCAAACCGATTTGACCACAAAGACCAGGGAAGTTTTCCAATGCGTCGCAAAGAAGGGCACCTATTTGTAAATGGTGAAGTTATTGATTACACATTGGATGGTGTATCAATACACCCAGTCACTACAACGATACAGGCGTCCTTCCTAACTCAGAGGAAGGACACCACTCAGGGATTTCAGAGGTCATTGGGGACTTTAACAATGTTTATTGGCTGTGATGGGAGACAACTGGGAATGGATCAACAACACTGTTGACAGAGTGAAAAGATGGAAGCCTCTACAGAATAAAAAATATTCCAAAACATGCATCCTGTTTGCAACAAGGCACTAAAGTAATACTGCAATAACTTTGTGTCCTGAATACAAAGTGCTTGGGGCAAATCCAATACATTACTGAGTACCACTCTCCACATTTTCAAGCATAGTGGTGGCTGCAACATGTTCTGGTTATGCTTGTAATCGTTAAGGACAGGAGTTTTTCAGGATAAAAAAATAATGGAGCTAAAGCACAGGGAAAACCTGTCTGGGTCAGTCTGCTTCCACCAGACACTGGGAGATGAATTCACCTTTCAGCAGGACAATAACCTAAAACACAAGGCCAAATCTACACTGGAGTTGCTTACCAAGAAGACGGTGAATGTTCCTGAGTGGCCAAGTTACAGTTTTGACTTAAATCTGCTTCAAGATGTATGGCAAGACTTGAAAATGGCTTTCTAACAATGATCAACAACCAACTTGACAGAGCTTGAATAATAATTGGCAAGTATTGTACATTCCAGGTGTGCAAAGCTCTTGGAGATTTACCCAGAAAGACTCACAGCTGTAATCGCTGCCAAAGGTGCTTCTACAAAGTACTGACTCAGGTGTGTGAATACTTATGTAAATGAGATATTTCTGTATTTCATTTTCAATACATTTGCAAAAACAATCAACATGTTTTCACTTTGTCATTATGGGGAATTTGTGTGTAGATGGGTGAGAATAAAAAAGTATCCATTTTGAATTCAGGCTATAACACAAAATGTGGAATATGTCAAGAGGTATTAATACTTTCTGAAGGCACTGTAGGTGGATGCAGTGGATTGAGACGCAGCCCAATGCAATAAAAACATATCTATCTTAAACTTATAGATTTTGATGGGGATATTTTTATTATGTTACTTAGATTGACGCACGGATTAATAATCTATGTAAAACAGTTATTCAAGAAACAGGCAATTCATGAGGTTATTTTCAATTTTATCAAAACAAGGGAATCTCCATCAAACTTTGGCACCTTTTAGTATAAAAATAAAACCAGAATGAAGTTGACACACCCCAGTTCTCACATTCACACAACAATGCTGTGATTAAAGGGATAAATAAAATGCATTAGAGTTTCAAAATTACAACAACTCAGTGTCAATCACACACACAGTGCTACCCCTGTCTACACAACAGAGGCTACAGAAAAGGAAAAATGATTTCAAACACTTGTTGACATGGCAACTACACCAACGTTCTCGCAAAACAGTGCTTTTGATTTCTGACTGTTTAAGATTTCATAGAAGTAAAAAAAAAAAAATGATTACGACAAACGGTAATACTGGACAGGTAGTCTTTGAAATTTATAATTTGTAAAAGACAAGCACATCTGAACTGTGAACAAGCACACAAACACACATTCAGGGACGGGGGAAGATTTGAATCTCTTTAAGGCACGAACGCAAGGAATGTTCCTTTTTGACCTCTTAAGTGTCTCAAAGGGGAATGACGAGAGACACACGACTTAACCAAAACTCTGAAAGTGCGCAGGGTTCTCTTAAGACTGTAGGAAGGCATAGGCCTACAGTCTGTAGCCGTGGTAGATATGGTTAAGCTGATCAGTAAGGCACAGATGTGTTAGTTCAGGCTTGTCTCTGACGGGACAGGGCCACCTCCTCTTCAAGGAGACTTGACAGACCATGGGTAAGGAAAGGGAGATGTATCTTTTACTCCAGGGGATTCTGGGGGATGTGTCCTTCTGCCAGTGCGTCTGCCAGTAGTTCAGGTCGAAGGCATTCGATGGGGCACTGGATGTTCTGTAGGAGACAGACAGACAGACAAGAGGTCATTATGGGTCCAACCTCCGCATGGGTTTTCAGGTTATAATCCAACATATTGTTGTGTTTTGAGAGCGTAGTCTATGACTCACCACTTTGCGTAGGGTGTTGGTGGGGTCTCTGTATCGGACGGGCTGCAGCAGACTAGACTCAACCTCAGCACCTGGTCTACGACAGTTCTCACAACGCCAGCCCTGAGAGGAGGACAACACACATTACATTTACACACATGTTGGTCATTTAGCAGGTGTTCTTGTCCAAGTTGCATTCAACTAAGGTAGGTAAGACAAGCACATATCACAGCCATTGCCAGTAAAAGTGACCTGTTGTCCTCCATAGCAGGTGCAGGTACAGATGGCTCCCAGGTATTCCTTCTGCCACTGGTTACCAATCTGGTACATCTTCCCATCGTCATAGCAGCTGGACTCATCTGTAAACACACACGCAGGAGAAGGAATCACACACACACAGCCTTTGAGGTCACACAGGCAGACATTGATGAGATCACACAGGCAGACATTGATGAGGTCACACAGGCAGACATTGATGAGGTCACACAGGCAGACATTGGAACTGTACTTTGTTGTATTGTGACATGCTGCCATAGAGGACAGAGAAGTTATGGATTCTTCCTTTAATATCCAAACAAGGTGTGGTGGGAGGTTAAAGTGCTACTTACGTGGTTCACACTTGAACTCTCCCTTCCCGTTGCCCAGGCAGGTACAGCTCATCATGGGACCGTGCTCCTCCTGGCGCTCCCATTTCTCCCCGACACGGTAGTTGTTACCTCCATCATGACACCACTCTGTTGATGGACAGGAACAGAGGGAGAGAGAGGGAGAAAGAGACAACAAAAAAGGTCAGACATCTTGCATAACATCCCACACTGTCTCCCGGATTGGTGTAACCAATATGGCAACCATTCCACCCAGCCAATCAGGTGGCAAGGTTTCATAGGAATTAATAAAGTTTCTTAAATTGCATTGAATTTAAGAGGTAGTTAGATACTCACTAGAGGAGTCACATCGGAAGTGTCCACTGCCTAGTCCCAGACACCTGCACCACAGCTTGAAGCCCGTCTCAGACATGCGCTCCCACTCGGTCCCAACGTCATGGTAGGTGGCTGTGAAGGTGTCGTAGCACGAGTCCTTATCTGAGCCGGTGGAACCCTCTGTCACTAAAGCGGAAGAGAGGGGGTTAATTTCAACAGAGAATCACAGACTAAGTTATGTAAGTAAATGCCTATCTATGAACTGTATTTTCTGCCCGTGGAACAGCATGACCAAAACAACGTCAGGATTCACTCATACCATCTATTCTATAGGTTAGATTTCAGTATTGGTCCTAGATCAGTTGTCATAGTTACTGCTGGTTCCTTACGGGTGTTGCCGGCGGTGATGATCTCCTCCAGGATCTTGTGTTTGAGTGCCCCCTTCAGGGCCTCTACAATAACGTTGTAGGAGGCTCCGCTGGTCAGGCCGATTAGAGTGGCACTGGTGGAGGTACCAGGCAGACGCATCTGAGATGGGAGAGAGAGAGAGAGAGAGGGAGAGAGGGAGAGAGGGAGAGAGGGAGGGAGAGAGGGAGAGTGAGACAGAGAGAGGGAGGAAGGAAGGAAAGGGAAAGAGAGATGTCTCTTAGATGTGTCTTTGTGTGTGTGTGTGTCTACAGTGCATTCTGGTGTCCATGCCGTGCCCTCTTACCTGGAACATCTTCTCGTTGACGTGTGTCAGAGGGTTGCAGGACACCAGGTACTCTGAACTCTGCTTGTAAGGCTTCCAGGCGATGGTGGTCTGGGTCTGGGCCTCTTGAGGGACTCCTGTGTCGTTCTCTGGAAAACCAAAGGGAGAGCCACCAGGCACGTTCACCCTCACCACTGGCACCCTGCGCCCCTCCGCGTCCGGAAGGGGCACAAACACCAGGGGTGTTTGGGGGTTCCCATAGGGTGTCTGGCCATTCCTAAAGGGTGCCTGGCCATTCCCATAGGGTGTCTGGGGGTTCTGGTGTCCGTTGTTGTACTCAGTGTACTCCACGTTCTGGCCCTGGCCGCCCAGGGTATGTAGGCCGTTCTTACCCACTACTGTTGGGACACTGTTCTCGTTTTCTTCAGGCACGTCCAGGTGGTCATAGCCCCCGGGGCGGTTGGGGAGTGGCAGTGTAAGCAGGGAGTCACGTTCTGGCCGGGAGAGAGGGGTTAGGAAGCAAGCGAGTTAGGGAGGGAGTAGGGAGTTAGGGGAGTTGCAGTAGCATAAGGCTGCCAGCAGGGGGTGGCAGTATGTCCGCAGACTACAGCCACTATTGTACTGTAAAGCACTGCACTTCAGGTAGAAGTTGCCCCTAAGCACAGATCTAAGATCAGATTACCCTACCCCCATTTTGCTTTTAACCATTAAGGGGAGTGGAAAAATATCTGACCCTGTATCAGGGGTTTGGGCAAACATTTACTCCAAAGCCTGCAACTGCCGTCAATTTCTTTTGAATCGCTTGTTTATTCAAAAGGCATTCAAAGTGAGTGAGCGGTATTATTGTTTTAAAAGGCACAGCTATTTGTAACAGATGCTGGCACGACTACAAACTAAATCTAACATCTAGGTCTATGAGCTGCTAGGCTGTTCTTACAATATTCTATTGCAACTATGCACATGTGCTGGGCTTCCAAAACCTTTCTTTGTAACATCACCATTCAGGTACAAAAAAATAAGGTTTTGGGCCGTGTGTGTATGTAGACGTGTGTGTATGTAGACGTGTGTGTATGTAGATGTGTGTGTATGTGTAAAGTGTGTATATGCTGTACTCACGAGTCCTGGCCGTGCCCACCAATGGGGTGCTTCTCTGGACATTCTGAAGAGCAATGATCTTGATGATGTACTCGGTGCCTGGTCTCAAACCTGAAAACATCCAACAACATCAACCATCAAACTCAGCTGGAGTAAATCAGATGTTGATTTGAGTCAATTAAGGTATTTTACATAAACTGGGCGGGTTGAGAGGCTTGATCTTTCAGAGGGTGAAGAGGAAGGGGTGGAGTTTAAGCGGGTGAGGGTAACTTTGGAGAGAGAGAGAGAGAGAGAGAGGGCAGAGTTTGACGTTTACCAGAGATGGTGGCGTAGTTCTGGCCAGCGTGGGGGCGGGGGGTAAGCTCACGGGGCTGCGCCCTGCCTGCCTCCTCGTAGGTGATGTAATATCCTGTGATGCGTGTGGCAGGTGGTTCCCAGCTGAAGGAGATGGAGTTGGGGGTCAGGGAGGTGAACTGGAGGTTGGTGGGGGAATGCACCGCTGGTTTGGCTGTGGTGGCCGTGAGGGTGAAGGGGGCACTGCGTGCATTACCACTGATGGTGTAGATGTGGATGGTGTAGGTGGTGCCTGGCTCCAGACCTGAGGGACATCATACACAACACACTGTCAGTCAGTCAAGATCCCACTCTGTACATGGGTAATGTAGTTTACTATAATGATGATAGTTTATGTGAAAGTGATGACGGATAGTTGACTGTATGGGAGCGATAATAGGTAATGTAGTTCACTTATAGATGAGAGTGGTGAAAGCTGGGTGATGTAGTCTACTGTAGATGAGAGTGGTGATGGGTAATGTTGTTGACTGTAGATGAGAGTGGTGATAGCTGGATAATGTAGTTGACTGGACAGTACCAGTGATGGTGTAGGTGCGCTGCTCTCCGGGGATTGTCTTCTTGATTGTGGGGCGGCTGCCGCTGAGAGGCTGAGCTTCGATGAGGTACCCAGTGATGGTCTCAATCTTAGCGCGCCAGGTCAGCGTGATGGCCGAGTCCTTCACGTCAGAGATACGCACACGCCGAGGAGGACTGATGTCTGGGAGAGAGGGAGGGAGGCAGAGAGAGAGAGAGAGAAAGAGAGGGAGAGGGTGAGTTTACAGTGAGTAAACCAGGGGCCAGTAAAGTTCAACTGTGTGAAAGCTGCTTACTGTCCAGCGTGGTGACCTCTCCCTCCAGGGGTCGGCTGGTCACAGAGTTCTTCAGGGCGTAAACGTGCACTGTGTACGTAGTGGCCACCTACACAGGAAACACATTGTGACAGAGACATAAATACAGTGATAATACATTACCTGAATTTAGACTGTTTAGCAGACACCTTTATCTAGAACACAGTTATGACATACATTCAGAATACTGTAGGCTGTTATTTACCATGAGTCCTGGGACCACGGCACGTGTGGTGTCTGGGGCGATGGTCATCTCCTTGGTGGGTCCGTTGTTGTTCTTGGGGTTGACAACCACACGGTACCCAGACAGCCCGGGCTGGGGGAGCGCCACGACACAGTGAAGGAGGAGTCACCAACTTCAGAGATGTCCAGATTGGTGGGGACAGGGATGGCTGGGGGCAGGGATGGACATGAAGTATTCATGTGTGGTGTGTGTGTGTGTGCGCATGTCTGTGCGTCTGTATGCGTGTGTGTCTGGTATCTCCTACCTGTGGCCTGTGTGCCCACCAGTGGGGTGCTGGGGGTGCGTCCGTGCAGGGCGATGACCTTAACGGTGTACTCTGTGCCGGGGCGGAGATTCCTCAGCACCACGGTTTCGTCTGTCCCTCTGGGTGCCGGGCGCAGCTCTCTCTCGCCCTCCTCAGGGCTGGAGTACAGCACGCGGTATGATGTCACCGTGCCATCCGGACTGTCCCATGTGATCCTCAGAGAGGTGGAGTCCACCTCAGAGAAGGACAGGTCCTTGGGACGGTCCATTGCTGCAAGGAAACAGGGGGATGAAGGTCAGAAGGAAGGGAACATAAGAATAGCATACATTTCAACATTTCTTAAATTTTTCTATAATGACAGATCAAGGTTTTAGAAACAACTCTAACGAAAACCGAATGCACGCATACACACATGTACACAAACACACACGCACCTGTGATGGCGTTCTCTACCAGAGGTGTGGAAGGTTCTCCATCGGTTCCCAGAGTGGTCACACTCAGAACGTACTCCACCGTGGGCATCAAGCCAGTAAACGTCATCTCGGTCTGATCTAGAACACGGAGAGAGAGAGAGGTTGAGCACATCAGTATAGCTGTTGAAGCTAACAACAGAAGCTAAATCTCCTTTCTATCAATGTCTCACAACACCGTCACAAAATGGCTGCCGTACATATGATCACAGATGGGCAGAGGACAGTGGAGAGAGCAGGGGCCAGTCTTACCAGGGGCCACCACCTCAGAGAAAGAGGGGCCCTGTCCGTTCTTGGGGACGCTGGTGACCCTGTAGCCCTTGATGGGGCCCTGGGCCGGGGACCAGCGCACTGTGATGGTGTTGTCCTTCACATCTGTCACATCCATGTTGGTGGGGCCCTCAACATCTACAGAGAAAGGAACAGGGAGGAAGGGAGTGAACGAAGGAGATATGGGAGGAAGATACAAATAATCTACACATGAATCTAAAACAAAACATTCATATGATCATTCCTAACTACTGGTAGATCAAGGCATCATTTCCAGATAACCAAATAAATGAGAAATCTGAAATTGCAACAACGGACACTAGATGGCGACACCAGTTCAGAGCCTGTCCTGTCCCAGACATGAATGCATGAATATGTAATTGATCATGCGTAATTAATATGAACAAGGCACTTAACCCTAACTGCTCCTGTAAGTCTCTCTGGATAAGAGCGTCAGCGAAATGACTCAAATGTACATGTAATAAATGTGTATTAAACCATCAGCCCCGTACCAGTCTTGTGAGTGACGTAGATGGGTGTGCTGGAGGCCGGGCTGTCCCCTCTCCCTGTCACAGCGTAGACGGTGATGGTGTAGTCTGTCCCGGGGTTCAGGTTAGAGATCGTGGCCTTGGACTGGGAGCCGGGGACAGTGAACTCCTTAGCAGGGCTCTCTCCACCTGTCTCTCCATGGGTGATCCTGTAGTACCTCACGGTGACAGAGGGGGCGTCCCAGCGGATGGTGATGCTGGTGGGGCTGGAGGAGGTCACTTCCAGGTCGGTGGGGGCGTCAGAGACTAGTGGAGAGAGAAGATCAGGAAATAAGACACAGTTGTTGAGGATAGAAGACTAGACAGATTAGGAAGAACAAAGAGAAGGGAGGAGAGAGAGAGAGAGAGAGAGAGAGAGAGAGAGAGAGAGAGAGAGAGAGAGAGAGAGAGAGAGAGAGAGAGAGAGAGAGAGAGAGAGACACTCTGACTGACTGACTGACTGACTGACAGAGTGAAAGAGACTGAAAACATAGAACAATAACAGATAAAGACATGAAACCAATCTATACTACTCACTAGTAGCCTGAGTGCCAGTGAGAGGCAGACTCTCCGTGTTCCCGCTGACAGCATAGACCTCAACACTGTACTCTGTCTCGGGGGCCAGGCCGGTCAGGGTGAATTGGCTCCTGGTCGGGGGCAGTCTCTCATCCTTGGCCCTGCCTCCGCTGGTCATCTGGTAACGGATACGGTAGCCGGTGATCACGGCCCCAGGGGCCAGCCAGTGGATGGTGAAGGAGTTGGTCAGGACTTCAGCAAAGTCCAGGCCAGTGGGAGAGTCCAGGGCTACAGAGGAGAAGAGAGACACATAGCCATGATCTACATGATATACACACTGTACGCATACACATCATACACATCATACACATCATACACATCATACACATATCATACACATCATACACATCATACACATCATACATATCATACACATCATACACATCATACACTATTTGTGCAAAAATACCTGTGCATTTGTCTCTCTCTTTTAGCCTTATAAACTGTCCTGTGTCTGTCCATACTCACTTGTTCTCTGAGTGCCAGTGACTGGTGCGCTCTCTCTGTCCTCGTAAACACACACCACGCTCACCCTGTACTCTGTGTTGGGCAGCAGGTCTGGAGGAGAAATGGACAGGAAAACATTTAGCCTGTTAATGACCTCATAGTTAGTCTCAAAACCGACGACACAACACATTGTATGACCCTCAGAGGTATATGATACACTACATATGACAGTAGTATTAGTGTTCTATTTAGTTCAGGGGTATAGCCCTAGTCGTGAGGTCATAGGTCATGATGAGGTCATAGGTCATGATGATGTCACTAACTCTGCAGCAGGAAGGTATTGGTGGCTCCGCCCACGTTGAGCTCCTTGACGTCGTCGTCGTTGCTGCCGGGGTGGTAACGGATGACGAAGCGTGTGATGTCACTGGGCGTGGGGACGTTGGGGACGGTCCAGGTGACCCTCATGTGATCGGGGCCCACCCCTCCGAAGTTCAGGTTGGTGGGGGCGGGGACGGCTGGGAGAGGGAGGGGGGGGGGGGGGGGGGGTGTAATCAGGATAATAACTAGGAAATTATGTGGTAACAATAGATACCTTTAAGGAATTTAACTTGATGGCTTCTATTCCCAAAATACCACAGTTAAAGGTAATGATAGATTAATTTATGACAATTTGACCATGTAATTACCAGGTTATGACCATTTGACCATGTAATTACCAGGTTATGACCATTTTATCATGTAATTACCAGGTTATGACTATTTGACCATGTAATTACCAGGTTATGACTATTTGACCATGTAATTACCAGGTTATGACCATTTGACCATGTAATTACCAGGTTATGACCATTTGACCATGTAAAGCATAACTACAGTAAAGCATAACCAACAGGCATTTAGAATGAGAAATAATATAAGAGCATGCCAAGGAGAGTGGTGCTCCACACAGTTACCTCAAGGCCATCTGTGGCATGTCCAGATGGGACAAGTCAACCAGACAAGAGAGGACACATTAGAGAGCATGGCAGGTATGAAAGAAAAACCTGGATGCAATCAACAATGACATTATTGCTATGATCAGAATATATAACTACAACATGAGTATGTAAGGTTTGTGAGGCAGTATGTTCAGTTTTTAGTTTCTCTCCAAGCCCCCCCCCCCCCCCCCCCCCCGTAAAGTTGAAGGGTCAAATCACCAGTCTGGGTTTGCTTTCTGCGTGTGGCCGGCTCGCTCTCCCCTTCCTCCGTTATTGTAGTGACACTGATGTCATAATCCACACCGGGCTCCAGCCCGCGCACCGTATAATAACCCGTCGACGAGTCCACCGTATCCACGATGATGGGCAAACTCTCGCCCGACGCCATAACCGTTATCCGGTAACTGGTGATGGCGGTAACGTTTACCAGGGCAGTCCAGCGCAGGCCGATAGTGGTGTCGGTGACGTCGACAAAGTGGAGGTCATTTAGCTTGGGTACGTCTGAAAGGTTAGAGTGCAAAGCGAGGCGCAGGCAGAATAAGACATACAGACATAGAAACCATGACAACAGACAGACATAATCAAAGCACATGAATTAACGTTCCCCGTGATGCATAGCCATACACAGTGGGACAGACAACATTATACACTGTAAAATAACAACAGTAGCCATGCTGTTAAGAGTTATATTATCACACCCATAAATTACATTGACTAGATCAATGACAGGAAAGGATGCTCATGGGTTTTCAGAGCAATGGTTTTTCAACAGGCATATTCACATGACATCTTCGATGAATTAACAGTTATACTTTCTCCATGCATAACTTATGAACAAACAATTACAGTTCAGCCAACGACCATGTTAGCAGGACAGTGTGCAATTGAGGCATCACAACGAACAAAATACATACATGTACTGCAATGGTAATTCAGAATAAAGAAGTGAGGATTTCTTCTGAAATTAAGAGTGCTTTTAGGAATTATCCTTCAATGGAAAGTGCTTTCAGCGTGATCAGCCGTTACAGGGAGGTTTCCTGGCAGGGAGATTCTGTACTTCAGAGAGAAGCCAGACTGGGAGGTTTATGGGAAGTTGGGCCCGTCCAGGAATAGCACTTTTATGGAACGTGTACCGGAGTGTGAAGTGGGAAGAAATCGGAGTTGGGAACGGTGAATATAAGAAGGGGTGGCAGAAATATTGAATCGTACTTCAACCTTTCCTGGCCACGGATTGAGAAGGAAAGCTATCCAATAAACTCACACACACAGAGTGAACACACACACACACATTCAAACACTCCCCTTAAAACCAACCAATAGCGAAGACTCAGACAAAACCATTGAATGTGTTTGTGTGTGTGTACATGAGTGTATCTGTGTGTGTGTACATGAGTGTATGTGTGTGTGTGTTTATGTGTTGTGTGTCTTTCTTTCTGTCGGAGCAACAGAACACTAGCTCCACAGCAAACAGACACTACCTGATCCTGAATCAGTTTAACCCTTCAACACAGCACAGCTCAACCTCAGCCCGTGCTTGGGTCCACTGATCTGAAATCAGCTGTGTGTAGCTGGGTGAGACAGCCAGTCCTACCTTGGGTGACAGTGGTGGACACAGGGACACTCTCCAGGTTTCCTTTGACAGTGTAGACAGAGACGTTGTACTCCACTCCTGGACTCAGGTTCTCCAGGATTAACTGGTTCTGGACCGGCTGGACAGACTCCTCCAGGGAGTGTCCTCTCTGCCCATTGGTCGGGGTACATGTCACTCTGTAGCCTGTGATGTCTGTAATAATAATAACAATAATAACAACAATAATAATAATAGTAATAATAATTATAATAAAAATACAATAATAATTTGGTGGGTGCTTGTATTTGTCCTATTTCATATATGTACAAGTGTGAATTATACGCATGTGTGAATTGGAAATGTGTTTTTTGCATCTCCCATCTCCCCCTGAGACACCCTCAGAGAGTGGGGTCACGGCCAAGGTATTTTAGGGGAGGGGGGGACAGGATGGCAGAGGAGACAGGGAAGTGAGCAGTGGAGTTAACCAACCTAGATCTGCTAGGATTACATGTAAGTACTTGTTACCATTTAAAAGAGAGAGCGAGAGAGAGAGCGAGAGAGAGCGAGAGAGAGAGAGAGAGAGAGAGAGAGAGAGAGAGAGAGAGAGAGAGAGAGAGAGAGAGAGAGAAGAGAGAGAGAGAGAGAGAGAGAGAGAGAGAGAGAGAGAGAGAGAGAGAGAGAGAGAGAGAGAGAGAGAGAGAGAGAGAGAGAGAGATAGAGACAGACTCCTACAGAGAGAAGCCTTGTTCCTACTGGCACAACGTTCTGAGGTAAGACAAGGTCCAGACATAGTGATCCAGAGCCACAGTGAGCCTGTCCTGGTTCCTGGGCCTTGGGCAGTGTGTCTGTGGTGTGAGCTGTAGGAGGGAGCAGAGTCAATATTTACCTGGCGTGTTGACGTTGCCCCACAGGACAGTCAGCTCACCGGTGTCCACGTTCGACTGTGTCCTGAGGTCAGTGGGGGGAGACAGTTCTGGAGGGGAAGAAACATCACATAAGTCTATACGTGGTAAAAGAAAACCTTGTGGCACATTTTCAAAGTCTACAGACTACCTTATGGTTTAAGTAAACTTACTGTGAGAACCTTAAAACAACCTCATTATTCCCTAACTTTACAAAATCAATATAGATGTGTTTTTACCCCAAAATGGCCGCAGCAACAACACGTCTTCCTTGGAAAAGAGGTCTTCTGACCTCAATAAAATAAAATAAATTGTTGACCGGAGTCTCTCTCTCTTTCTTAGTTACTTACGAGTGACAACGTTTTTGGTGATGGGGTTGCCGCGGTCGCGTCCATTGATAATGGGCTGTACGCTGTAGGTGTACTCAGTTCCAGGGGTCAGGCCTGACACAAAGATACTTCCTGAGTCAGAAGTCACATCCCTGGGTGACTCTCCTCCCTGACTGGGCCTCACAGACAGCCTGAAGCTGAACCTGCTGACAGGGGTCCAGGAGATGATGATGGAGGTGTCTGTGACATCAGTGGTGAAGCGAGGGGCATTACCCATCTTGGGGGCTGAGGGGAGGAGAGAGGGGGGGGGGGGGAGAGGAGAGAGAGAGACAGGGGGGAGTAAGAAAGAGCAAGAGCGAGAGAGGGGGGAGTGAGAGAGAGCAAGAGAGAGAGAGGGGGGAGTGAGAGAGAGAAAGAGAGAGAAAGAGAGAGGGGGGGGAGTGAGAGAGATCAAGAGAGACAGAGAGAGAGTGAGAGAGAGAGAGAGGGAGAGAGAGAGAGAGAGATGAGGGAGTGAGAGAGAGCAAGAGCGAGAGAGGGGAGAGTGAGAGAGAGCAAGAGAGAGAGAGGGGAGAGCAAGAGAGAGAGAGAGAGCGAGACAGAGAGAGAGAGTGGGAGCGAATATAACATCAGTTTCTTTCCTTTTTCTGCTTCATAATTTAAATAAACTCAAATCTGGAGTTGAATTGATCAGTACCATTCAAGCACCCTGCCACAAGCTCAGCAGAATAGAAGCCTACAGTACTCACAGGTGGTGAAGATGCCATTGACTTCCTCACTCAATACGTTGTCCTGCTCAGAGTGCAGTTTGACTGTGTAGTCTGTGTCGGGGCGGAGGCCTCGCAGGGGGAACTGGGTCTGACCGCCTGGGATTCTCTTCTGGGTGGGGCTGGAGCCCTCCACGCTCAGGAACAGACGGTAGCCGCTGACGCTAGCCCTGGGAGCCTCCCAGATCACTATGACACTGTCCTCGCCGATGTCGGTGAAACGCAGGTTGGTGGGGGCGTCGGGCTCTGAGAGGGTTAGCACACATAGGGTCACATCATGGGTATAAAGTATAAACACAGTGTATGTATGAGTATCTAAGTCTATCTGCGGGTTTGAAATGGACTACATTGCAGTCGGACTGCTCAGCATCACTGATCTACCAAACCTTGCATCCCACATAACTACTTATAATGCGATGAAGATTAGCAATCCTGCGCCTCGACTTGCTCAAACTGATCCCCTCAACACGCTGTCTGCACATGTCTACTCACTGGTGGCTCTCTCTCCTGTCAGCGGCTCACTCTCCACTCCTCCGTTGATGGCGTAGATGTTGAAGCTGTACAGGGTTCCAGGCTGCAGGTGGGTGATCTCTGCGTACGCGTTGGGCGTCACGGGCAGCTGCAGGGGCCTCTGGGGCGTGTCGCCGGGGGTGACAGGGGCGAAGGTCACGCGGTAACCCGACACCTCGCTAGGCGGGCCAGTCCAGCTGATGATGATCTTCACGTCAGACACCTCGTAGAACTGAAGGTCGGTCGGGGAGTGGACTTCCTCTGTGGACAGGAAGTAGGAAGTGGTCACTGTGTTGACTGAGGTCATCTTGTGTGTTGATGTCCTATTGCCTTGTGTTGCGGTGCAAGAAAGACGGAGTCAGATGAAGTGGAAACTATACGCTGATCTAAGGTCTGTGTTGGATTGCAATGTGAAGCCTACTTCTACTTTACCAGCTGAGAGGAAGTTGGAAAGACAACGCCATACAGGAAATGGAAACTGGAGAATGGAGAATCTTTGCTGTCAAGATGAGAAGGATTTAGAGCAGAAGGGCGGAATCAACAAGAATGACCCAGATACCGTGGAGAGAGAGAGCGTACGTTGTTTTTATGTGTGTGTGTGTCTGTGTGTGTGCAGGCAAGTGTGTGAGTCTGTATCTCACACAGCTTTCTCATATGAAAGTACATAAATCAGTGAGGGAGGTGACAGAACCAGACAAATCTCAATCTATCTGTCAGGTCCAGTCCAGAACCAAACAGAGGAGAAACCTAACCCCAGCTCCCATCTGGCCCTATACGGCTATCCGAGAGCCCTAAGCTCCTCCAAGCTCACATTAAATCTACCAACTGTCACTCACAGCTGGGACTGACTCCAACCGGGGGACAGCATGACTTCAAATGTTCCTCTTAGAGAGAGAGAGAGAGAGAGAGAGAGAGAGAGAGAGAGAGAGAGAGAAAGACTGAAGCACTCCCCTAGAAGGTACAATGAAATGGCTGCATGGCTTCAAACTATAATTTTACTTCCTGGGCCTACACTCTTAGAAAAAAAGATACAATCTAGAACGTAAAAGGGTTCTTTGGCTATCCCCATAGGAGAACCCTTTGAATAACTATTTTTTCCAAGAATGTAGGTGTATAGGAAATGATTTATTCTAATGTTGGAAGGGTGATAAAGTGCATGCCAAAATCAACTCAAAGTCAGTTCAAACCATGGCTGAGGTAGAAATGACAGAAAGCGGATTCAACTGTTGTGATGGAGGACATTCGTCAATGGCCTATGCTTCTTATAGGAGCCAAGGGCTTAAGTCAAGTAAGTCAAGTCTGAGATTGGGTTATGGTTAGAGTGTGTTTTAGGGTTAGGGTCATGTGTGGTCCTGTTGTCCTGTATGCTGTCCACTACTCTGTAGCTCAGCTGGTAGAGCACGGCGCTTGTAACGCCAAGGTAGTGGGTTCGATCCCCGGGACCACCCATACACAAAAATGTATGCACGCATGACTGTAAGTCGCTTTGGATAAAAGCGTCTGCTAAATGGCATATTATTATATTATTATACTCTACCTGGTGCTGGCTCTCCGGCCGTGTTGACCTGGACGAAGATGGGCTCGCTCTCCTGGTTCTCCTCCACAGCGTAAATGCTGATGTTGTAGAGCAGGCCAGGTCGAAGGTCAACCAGGGTCACGGAGGTCTCAGTGTCTGGAAGGATGAGCTCGGTGCTACTGCCCTCTACTGACGGGGTGAAGACCAAACGGTAGCCTGTGATGGGGGCCTGGGGCTTGGACCAGCTGATGGAGATAGAGGTCTCTCCCACCTGGTCGATCTGATGTTCAGCAGGGGCATCAGGAGCTGAGGGGGGATCAGGAGCACTGGATTAGAGAAGAGCTCAATGTATTCCTGTCAGAGAGTGAGTTATATTGGTGAAGGGTGAGGGTGATGAAGGGTGTGGGTGGTGAAGGGTGAGGGTAGTGAAGGCTGAGGGTAGTGAAGGGTGAGGGTTGTGAAGAGTGTGGATGATGAAGGGTGAGGGTGGTGAAGGGTGAGGGTAGTAAAGGATGAGGGTGGTGAACGGTGTGGGTGATAAAGAGTGTGGGAGATTAATGGGTGTGGGTGATGAAGGGTGAGGGTGAAGAAGGGTAAAGGTGATGAAGTGTGTGGGTGATGAAGAGTGTGGGTGATTAATGGGTGTGGGTGATAAACAGTGTGGGTGATGAAGGGTGAGGGTGATGAAGGGTAAAGGTGATGAAGAGTGTGTGAGGGCTGGTATATTACCTGTGGTCTGAGAGGTAGTGAGGATGAGGTTGGGTTCTCCTTGAGGGGACACCTCGTACACGTTGACGTTGTATCTACGGCCAGGCAGGAGGTCACTAATGCTCACAGAGGTGGTGGTACGGGGCAGGTCTGACGGACAGAGACAATCAATCAATTAAATAAAACATCAATCAACCAATCGGGCTAGTAACCAATTAACACATTAACCAATTAACCAATACATTAAAATCAATCAACCAATCAAAAGCCTGCACACACAGCAGCCCTCCAGGGCCAGGAAGGAAGAATGATGGACTAGTGTTTATTCATTAGCTCACATAACTACTCAAAAGTTTTTCCATAACACATTGGGAACCACTGTCGTGGAGCTTAGAAAAAGATCACCCGAGACCGGAATACACTGGAAAGCTCTTCTGGATGGCCTATGCTGCAGGAGTAAGACTGGAATACACTGGAAAACTATTCTGGATGGCCTATGCTGCAGGAGTAAGACTGGAATACACTGAAAAACTATTCTGGATGGCCTATGCTGCAGGAGTAAGACTGGAATACACTGGAAAACTATTCTGGATGGCCTATGCTGCAGGAGTAAGACTGGAATACACTGGAAAACTATTCTGGATGGCCTATGCTGCAGGAGTAAGACTGGAATACACTGGAAAACTATTCTGGATGGCCTATGCTGCAGGAGTAAGACTGGAATACAGTGGAAAACTCTTCTGGATGGCCTATGCTGCAGGAGTAAGACTGGAATACAGTGGAAAACTCTTCTGGATGGCCTATGCTGCAGGAGTAAGACTGGAATACAGTGGAAAACTCTTCTGGATGGCCTATGCTGCAGGAGTAAGACTGGAATACAGTGGAAAACTCTTCTGGATGGCCTATGCTGCAGGAGTAAGACTGGAATACACTGGAAAACTCTTCTGGATGGCCTATGCTGCAGGAGTAAGACTGGAATACAGTGGAAAACTCTTCTGGATGGCCTATGCTGCAGGAGTAAGACTGGAATACAGTGGAAAACTCTTCTGGATGGCCTATGCTGCAGGAGTAAGGCCTTAGTTAGTACAGTAAATGTTGGAGCTACTCACCCAGGACCTGAGGTTTGGCTCCGTCCTCACTCAGTTCATACTCCACTCTGAAGCCTGACACGGTGTCGGAGGCTGACACCCAGGAGATGATGAAGCTGCTGGACGTGATCTCTGTCACTGACTCAGACGTGTCCACCACGGGGGGAAGCTGGGTAGTCTCACCCTCAGAGGTCACCCCTACTGGACGGGGGGGGGGGGGGGGTACATTACATTAATGAGACTAAATTGAGATTTGTGGGAGAGAGACAGAGAGATGGTGTGGTGGGGGTGTAAAGAGAGAGAGCGAGAGAGTGAGAGAGAGAGAGAGAGAGAGAGAGAGAGAGAGAGAGAGAGAGAGAGAGAGAGAGAGAGAGAGAGAGAGAGAGGCTCTAAACAGAGAATACACAGTGGCAGAATACCTGACCACTGTGACTGACCCAAACTTAAGGAAAGCTTTGACTATGTACAGACTCAGTGAGCATAGCCTTGCTATTGAGAAAGGCTGCCGTAGGCAGACCTGGCTCTCAAGAGAAGACAGGCTATGTGCACACTGCCCACAAAATGAGGTGGAAACTGAGCTGCACTTCCTAACATCCTGCCAGATGTATGACCATATTAGAGACATATTTCCCTCAGATTACAGAGATCCACAAAGAATTCGAAAACAAACCCAATTTTGATAAACTCCCTTATCTACTGGGTGAAAAACCACAGTGTGCCATCACAGAAGCAAGATGTGTGACCTATTGCCAAAAGAAAAGGGCAACCAGTGAAGAACAAACACCATTGTAAATACAACCCATATTTATGTTTATTTATTTTACCATTTGTACTTTAACTATTTGCACATTATTACAACACTGTATATATACATAATATGACATTTGAAATGGCTTTATTCTTTTGGAACTTCTGAGTGTAATGTTTACTGTTAATATTTATTGTTTATTTCACTTTTGTTTACTATCTACTTCACTTGCTTTGGCAATGTTAACATACGTTTCCCATGCCAATAAAGCCCTTAAATTGAAATTGAAATTGAATTGAGAGAAAAGTGTAGATATATAGAGTAACCAAAGAGACAGACACAGATATATAGTACGGTCGGTGTAACATTCATACACTCAAAACACACTAACACACACACACACACACACACACACACACACACACAGTTGGGAGACTTACGGGAGCCGTAGGTGGTGGTGAAGTCGAAGCGGGTGACCTCGCGGCGTCCATAGCGCAGGATGCTGATCAGCTGACCCTCATAGGTAATACCTGGCCGCAGCCCGGCGATGGTGTACGAGTTCAGGTTACCTGGGATGGTGACCTCTCTCCAGGGGGCACGGGTGTTTTTCTACCAGGGGTCAAAGGGCAGAGAGCAGAAGTGAGAGGTCAGGGAGTGAACTTCAAAGATGGTAAGGGTCAAAGTGGTGCATACATCATGGTGATAGGAACCAATGTGTATCTGAAGTGTTCCTTCACTAGCTCCTTACTAGCACATTCATGGTGGTATTGACAGCCAACTGGTCTAATACTATAACTATACAGTCAGGTCCATAAATATTTGGACATTGACCAAGTTATTGTTATTTTAGCTGTCTACCACAGCATTTGGAATTGAAATTAAATAATGAATATGAGCTGAAAGTGCAGACTTTCAGCTTTAATTTGAGGGTATTTACATCCAAATCGTGTAGGAATTGCAGCACTTTTTATATGTGGTCCCCCCCTTTTTAAGGGAACAAAGGTAATTGGACAATTGTCTGCTCAGCTGTTCCATGGCCAGCTGTGTGTTATTCCCTCATTAGTTCATTAACAAGGAAGCAGATAAAAGGTCTAGAGTTGATTTCTAGTGTGGCATTTGCATTTGGAATATGTTGCTGTTAACCCTCAATATGAAGTCCAAAGAGCTGTAACTGCCAGTGAAGCAAGCCATCATTAGGCTGAAAAATCTAAACAAACCCATCAGAGAGATAGCAAAAACATTAGGTGTGGCCAAATCATCTATTTGGTACATTCTTAAAAAGAAAGAATGCACTGGTGAGCTCAGGAACACCAAAAGGCCCGGAAGACCACGGAAAACAACTGTGGTGGATGACAGAATATTGATTTCCCTGGTGAAGAAAAACCCCTTCACAACAGTTGGCCAGATCAAGAACACCCTCCAGGAGGCAGGCGTATCTGTGTCAAAGTCAACAATCAAGAGAAGACTTCACCAGAGTAAATACAGAGGGTTTACCACAAGATGTAAACCATTGTTAAGCCTCAAAAACAGGAAGACCAGATTAGAGTTTGCCAAAAAACATCTAAAAAGCCTGTAGAGTTCTGGAACAACATCCTATGGACAGATGAGACAAAGATCAACTTGTACCAGAATGATGGGAAGACTATGGAGAAGGGAAGAAACTGCTCATGATCGAAGCATACCACCTCATCTGTGAAGCATGGTGGGGGTAGTGTTATGGCGTGGACAAAAAAAAACCTTACATTAAAGATGAAAGTCTACACTTAAAGCACATCTTGATTGTTTCCTTTAAAATCCATTGTGGTGGCATACAGAGCCAAAATGATGCAAATTGTGTCACTGTCCAAATACGTATGGATCTGACTGTATATCTCTCTATATACAGTAGAGTATATATAACCTACAGTGTCAGGAGTATGAATGAGTCCTGAGAGTTGAGATCATATGGAATATAAAACAGTGGGTAGCTTTTACAGTCTGGCCTGCACTACTAAGACTCTCATTCTAACACTCTCTCCATGCCCAGCCTATGGCCAATGTGGTCACTGGCATTGACTCTCTGCCCCTCCCTGCTTCTGGGGACATTCAACTTGGCTTCAGATGATCGGAAAACTACAGGTTCTTCACAACAAGAGAGAGAGAGAGAGAGAGAGAGAGAGAGAGAGAGAGAGAGAGAGAGGGAATAGGGGACTGCCATCCAAAACATACAAACCACTACCACTTAGCAGGAAATATGTTTGAATTCAATAAGGGTTAATAAGCATTTCCAACAGCTTGGCAGAACAAGGCCTCTTCAGAGAGAGAGAGAGAGTGTGAGAGAGGAGAGAAAACTGTATTTTTCCTTTAGGAGAGAAACACACAGCATTTGTACTGTAGCTGGATGTTGAGGGTCGTTCATGTGTGTATGTGTGTGTATGTGTATGTGTATGTTTTTCAGGCGAGTTCAAGAACCCCACACAACCTTGTTTTTCTGTGCTCAAAACCTGTCCTCTTCTTCAGAGTTGACACACAGACAACTAAATGTTGCAACCTCCTGTTTGTGCACTGGTTTAGTCATTACTTTTCAGCACTATTCAGGATTGGAATAGGAACATCCATTTCAAATGATTCATGATTTTTTAAAAGAACAACATGTGAGAAACAGTACCTGGAATAACTTGTTTCCACTTTGGATATCTGAGAATTAAAACAGGTAGAGTACTTCAAGAGAGTATGTTCAACTCTTGTGGTACTTCTTCCTGTAACACAGTCAGTCCACCACTAGCGGCATAGCGTGGCTGCACTACCACAAGTGACCATTATCTAGGGTGAGCAGTAGAGAGCCACTTACCACTCTCCACTTGAGGATATACTGGGTGATGTGTGAGGAGGCAGGGGCGTTCCACTGGATGGGGTGGGAGTCAGGCTGCTTTCCTGCCTCTGTGATAATCACCTGGACCGGGCGGTGGCCACCTTGGGGGAGAGGAGAGGAGGGAGGAGGAGGAAGAAGACAGGGGTTCTTCTATTACAAATCTCTAGTCTACTATCAAGCCATCTGTCACAGACATGATGGTACTGAACAAATGCAATGTATTCTCCTTGAACAACTTTATATTAAGGTTCTGGAAATAAACACACAGTTGTTAAAAGTCACATTCGCTTTTCAGTGTCAATTGGTTCACTGTTCACACCAGACAGACCTGGTCTGACCAAAAAAGATCCTGTCCAGACTCAGGTCAGACTCCTAGACTAGCTTGCCAGTACGTACAGTGGCTTGGAAGGAGACTAGTCCTAACCAGAAGTCTCTCCACTGTCTGGTTTCAACCAATCATGACACCCACAGGGCCTGTAAATCACTAGGTGTCTTCAGTGTCTGAAATCGCACCAGGGCAATATGTCCACCCCCACTCACACTCACACACCTACACACACACACCATACATATGCACACCTCCCTCTCACAGGTGAGCAACCCACAGCAACAGCGGGGAGTCATTTGGGGCAGTCAGTGAGGTCCTTTGACCTGCACTCTTAAGGTCCCTGACCTGCACCAAACATAATGTACTGGGTGATTACCTGAAACTCTAAACAATCACAACATTTACTGGGTCTGTATCTGTAACAGGTCACATGGGACAACTAGGGCAGGATGACAGGGTTCAGAGTTCAGACTGGGGTCAAGGTGTTTCAGAACACTGCATCAAGGTTGCCAGTTGGTAATTCCTGGTTTGTGTCATCTGAATACAGCCCAGCTGAGCTTTTTTGATTGACGCCGTCATCTATAGAGCACTGGCTCAATGCAGGACTAGCCAGTGCTGTGAGGGGCCTTGTAGTAGGTGAAGGTGGGACTGTTTCACCCAAAGCGTGTTACCAGACAGTGGATTGAGAGAGAGACAGGTAATTAAGTCCCCCAACGCAGGTAATTAAGTCCCCCAACCTCTCGCCCCTCCCTGCTTAGCGGGGTAGAGCAACAGTACTCAGCCTCTCAGTAGGGGAGAGCCAACAAAGACCTCCTAAACTACAAAGACCCACGGAGGGAGGGGGGCGAGAAAGGTGGACGGACGCACCCTCTCCATTTGCCAGACATCAAAGTTTAGCAGCCCCCTTCCCCCTCCCTGCAGAGGTGGTGAAGGAGTGACACACCGCCCCCTTGTTTAATTTCAAAGGGCCTTTTGATAGAGGGAGGTTGGGGAGTATTTAAACAGGGAGCGAATGGGAGAGTTAAAACACAACACAGATTAACTACCAGCAGGTGTCCCAACCGTAAAGAGAAGGGGGTGGGTATTGATAGAGAGGGAGGGGTAATGTCCTTGATCAACACCCCACTGAAGACAGCCCTTACCTGGGTTATCTACCCTGCCCCTCCCTGCCCCAGAGGACACCCTCAGGCAGTTCCACTTATGCTTCAGCAGTGTGCTGTTTTGTCACACTTCTGTTAGCCAATCAGACTCCTCTTCTTACCTGGGAAGGTCTGCTGTGGCTCGCAGCTCATCTCGCCGATGCCGTTGCCGTAGCAATAGCAGCGGTAGAGGACTTGGTGGATGGTTTTGTCCCAGGTCTCTCCAATCTGATAGAACACCCTGCTCTCAGGCTCCTGGCACTGGTCTGGAGGGAGAGAGAGGAGGAGAGAGAGAGGAGGGAGGAGAGAGAGAGAGAGAGAGAGAGAGAGAGAGAGAGAGAGAGAGAGAGAGAGAGAGAGAGAGAGAGAGAGAGAGAGCGAGAGCGAGAGCGAGAGCGAGAGCGAGAGCGAGAGCGAGAGCGAGAGCGTAACAGAGAGAGAGAGAGAGAGAGAGGAGGAGCGAGAAAGAGAGTGGAGAGAGAGACAGAGAAAGAGAGAGGAAGGAAAGGAGAGGGATTAGAATTCCTGCTGCCAAAAATCTCTTTAGAATTTCAGCCCCTCTTCTTGGATTCATATAACTTTCCACTCTGTTATTATCCCAGTGGAATCTGAGCCAGTCCCTGACTACATATTTTCCTTATTGCTTTTGAAATGTATCATGATAGATTTATCAAGAATTCAACTGTAAAGGCACGGACACACCGGTAGCGTTTGCCGGCGGAGAGTACTTAGCAGCTCTGAACAGAGTGCTGTCCATCATTTGCAAACCGAGTACAAACCGATTCTACATGTAGAATTGCGCAAAAATATCGTCAGTCAGACGTCCACCAGCAGGTGGTCCCTAAAACACAGCGCGCCGAAACAAACGGCAGATCATGTGTTTCCCCTTAGGCCATTGTTTCATTCCATTCTGTTGTACTGAATGGGAGGAAACATTGGTCTGAGTAGAGCATGATAGAACATGCCAGAGGTGCGATAAGGCTTTATTGAAGAGAAACCAGAGAGAAACTCACCGATGGCGTCGCACTTCCAGCGCCCGCGTCCCTGTCCATAGCAGGTGCAGTTCATCATGTAGCCCTGGTCATGGAGCTTGGTGAAGGTCTGGCTTACCTCATAGGTCAGCCCGTCCACGATGCACTGGTCTGGGGGAGGAGGGAGAGGAGACAAGGGGTTTTAATGATGTACTGGTCTGGGGGAGGAAGGAGACCAGGGGTTTTAATGATGTACTGGTCTGGAGGAGGAAGGAGACCAGGGGTTTTAATGATGTACTGGTCTGGAGGAGGAAGGAGAGGAGACAAGGGGTTTTAATGCTTTCAGTTCATTATACATTCCAGTTGTCAAGGCTACTGGGTCTAGAACCAGGTAATGACAGTATAACTCATATGACTGTTGTCTAACAACACATAAGAGAACAGGTGCTGGTAAGGTGGTAGGACCTTTGACTTGGGAGTAGGCGATGCAGCTCCACTCTCCGCGGTTGTTGCCCATGCAGGTGCACTGCATCATGTGACCCAGGACATCGTGGCGTTTGTCCCACTGGTCTCCCACACGGTACATGACCCCATCGTTGGTGGTACACGTCTCCTCATGGGCTGGATGGAGGGAAAGAGGGGTCAGTGAGGGGACGTGTGTGTGTGTGTGTGTGTGTGTGTGTGTGTGTGTGTGTGTGTGGGTGGCATGGTTAATCTCTTTTGGAACTGAGACAGATGTTATTTTTGCCAGACAGACTCTGGACCCATGCCAGTGTGTGAGCCCTATCCTCTGCCCAGTGGAGCCAAGAGTCATTAATAATCATTCTAACAGGCTCTTATAGAGGCATTACTCAGCCCTCTTCCATGACCGTTCCCCTGTCACTTCATAGCTTTTAAAGACCAACTCATTAACTGCCCATTGAACCTCTAACGGCTCTGTAGACTGTAAGTGACCCATTCAGTTAAACAGTCATTATTATCATCTGTAAGGGCAACATCAGACTGATAAAGACAAGCCTAGTACATTTATCTTGATAAGACCTCTGTCAAATAGAGGAATTCAGTGAATGTTGAAAACAGTAGCCCACCAGACCTTCCCACGCCCACCATACAGAGCCTGAAGGACCTTATAATAGAGGGATCTTACCTAAATATAGTCTTGTTTGCATGCCGGTAAAGATGGGCTAGTCAATGTACCTGACTGCTACTGTGATTGTATATTGTTTGGTGTGAGGGCCTGAGACGGGAAGAGACATGTGAATTGACAAATCACACACACACTCACCAGCCATGGGGCAGAATCCGTAGCGCTGCTCTCCTTCGTAGTTGGTTGTGGTACCACACCACCTCATGCCGTCGCGGCGCCCATCGGCCGTACAGTCAGTGTAGTTACGCCCATTGTAGAGGAAGGGGAACTGGCACAGGGCACCGTTGGAGTTACCCCCTCGGGTCGACACCAGGGCTACACCGCAGATCAAACATTCAACAGTTAGATATGCTGCTATCTATCTATCTATCTATCTATCTATCTATCTATCTATCTATCTATCTATCTATCTATCTATCTATCTATCTATCTATCTATCTATCTATCTATCTATCTATCTATCTATCTATCTATCTATCTATCTATCTATCTATCTATCTATCTATATATCTATCTATATATCTAGCTATCTACAGTATATATCCATCCATCCATCCATCCATCCATCCATCCATCCATCCATCCATCCATCCATCCATCTACCTACCTCCCTCCCTCCCTCCCTCCCTCCCTCCCCTCCCTCCCTCCCTCCCTCCCAGACTCACAGTTCTTCTCGGTACAGAAGGAGTACTGCTGGTCTCTATGGTAGTCAGAGGTGGTGCTGCACCACAGCTGTCCATCAGTCCGTCCCTCTGAGGTACAGGAGTAGTAGGTCTTATCCATGAACACAAAGGGGAACACACAGGCCTGGCCTTCTGAGTTCCCACCGTACACCTGGCTCTGGCCCTCTGGAGGGGAGGGAGAGAGAAGGGGAGACAGTTTTAGACCAGGTTAGATGAGGTGAGACAGGTTTAGACCAGGTTAGATGAGGTGAGACAGGTTTAGACCAGGTTAGATGAGGTGAGACAGGTTTAGACCAGGTTAGATGAGGTGAGACAGGTTTAGACCAGGTTAGATGAGGTGAGACAGGTTTAGACCAGGTTAGATGAGGTGAGACAGGTTTAGACCAGGTTAGATGAGGTGAGACAAGAGGTAAAACAAGCCTTGACTATGGAAATATATTTTTTTGAGACACACCCTTCTACTTTCACAGGAAGTCTTGAAGTATTAGTCTGAGTTAAGACTCACCCTTCTCCTCACAGCTGACGGCCCCAGTACCCTGGCAGGTACACAGCATCTGCTTGCTGCCCTGGGTCCTGATCCAGCGCATGCCCACATGGAAGGTGGCGCCCGAGTCCGTGCGGCAAGCCCCCTCCTGGGGGGGTTCGGGGAGGGTGGAGGGCTGGTGGAGCTCCGTCTGGATGGTCACACGAGTACTTCCTGTACCTGTTCCTACACCTGTTCCTGTACTAACACCTGTGCCTGCGTACCAGGAAGACAAAGAGAAATGTGTTTACATATCACAGGCGGCTGGTGGTAACTTAATTGGGGAGGACAAGCTCATTGTAATTGCTGGAACGGAATTAATGGAATGGTATCAAACACATGGTTCCCATGAGTTTGATACCATTGCATTCACTCCATCCCAGCCATTATTATGAGCTGTCCTCCTTTCACCAGCCTCCTCTGTTTCCTATATATTCATTTATAACCTGTATATCAATGTATAACCTGTTCATTTACTTATCTATGTATTTAAATATATCTACATCATTTTTTACAAAGAGTGTGTGTAAAACACAAGAGGGCCGACTCACCAGTGGTGGCAGAATGTCTCTCACACTTCCACTCTCCTCGGCCATTTCCTGTACACAGACACTGGAGTTGGTTTCTGTTAGCATCTGTCTTGGTCCATGTGTCTCCGATGCGGTAGGAGGTCTTGGTGTCCTGGTCATTACAACGGTCTAAAGAAATAAGGAAAGGAATGATGAGCGTGTGTGTGTGCGTTTACGTGTGTATGTATGTGTGTGTGTACTTACTCCTAGAGGTACAGGTGATGCGTCCGTTGCCCTCCCCCAGACAGGTGCAGTCGATCATCATCCAGCCTTGGTACGATTTCTCCCAGGTCTGCCCCACCACGTAAGACGCGCCACCCGTGTTGTCATAGCAACGCTCCGCTGCACAAAAACAAGTACCAAAAACGTTGTTATTATTGTAACCCTAATTATTTGACTCAATTATCTATCACCTTCTCCAACGGGCCTGTGGGTTCGATGTTAAAGAGTTACAATCAAGTTATTTTCTATACTTTAATCAGCACAAACGTTAGTGGCACGATAGGTTACATCTCCATCACTTCCCTGTCACAACATCTCTCCTGTGAATCCTCCTCACGCGCAGGTGAATCTTGGAAGGGTATTTTCAGAATAAGACTTATATCAACAGTGTGCGGGTCTCCATCTCTTCCAGAATAAGAGTCCTAACATAAAATCTCAATGGCAATGCCATAATAAAAGTATCAGATACACATGACATATTTCTGATTATAGAATATATATTTCTTATTCCAAAACCATGCCTACATTATCATAAAATCATCATCACCATTAGGGCTTACCACCACATGAGTCACCTCACCTCACTTTCCATGAAAACACTAAACTGAGCTAAATCAATAGTTATGGGGCAACGTTTGGGAAAGGAATGTCTGTCATGATCTTCAAATATTTACATTGACATCAAGCACTATTTCCAATAAATTACTCAAAGGAGGACTTTGAACCGCAGTTTGACTGGTTTAAGGACCGTTAAGAAAAACATTTATTCCAACAACCCACAGGCCAGACATTCATTCCCTTGAGATTACATCTAGTCTTCTTCTACTCCAAGACCTCAGACAGACACTCACACAGGGGTTTACAGGTCCTCAGACAGACACTCACACAGGGGTTTACAGGTCCTCAGACAGACACTCACACAGGGGTTTACAGGTCCTCAGACAGACACTCACACAGGGGTTTATACATCCTCAGACAAACACTCACACAGGGGTTTACAGGTCCTCAGACAGATAGACACTCACACACGGGTTTGCAGGTCCACTCTCCCTTGCCGTTTCCCAGACAGACGCAATCCAGCATGTAGTCGCCGGTCTCGTGGGGCCGTCTCCAAGTGTCCCCGATTTTATAGGATCTGCCTCCCTCGTGGCAGCGGTCTGGAAACGAAAAGACCATACATCATTATTCATGAACACGGACGTACTACATAAGTGCACAAATAATATTATGCGAGTTGTCTGGGAAGGGGAACTCACTTCCGATGGTGCAGCTGATTTTGCCGCGGGCGGAACCGATGCAGGTGCAGTCCCACATCATGCCGTCCTTCGCCCTCTCGTAGGTCGCACCCACGGAGTACGTCTGGTCGTTGTATTTGTCATAGCAGGTCTCCTCCCCTGCAGAAGACACCCGAGAAGACTTTCAACATGCGGCCGTAACGTTTGAGATAAACGAAGCGACTTCTGTGCGCAATGGCAAATGTGCCAAAAAGGGAACGCGCTCTAGAGCGCACGGAGGTTGTGTGCGAAACTAAAGAAATGGCCTACTTCATTATATATTCAAGTCTAGGGCTCCAGCTCACCTTGGGGTTTTGTTTTACATTTGATCCCTGCCGCTCCGTTGCAGGTACAAAGCAGTGTACTCCCGCGGTAAGCCTTCTCCCATTGATCGTTTAGTCTGTAAGAATGTCCGTTCTCATCGCAGCCTGCAAGATGATGGAGACACACACAGAGCCATTAGTCCTGAGCAAATTCGAGGCATGATAGGTTAGTTAAACACCCATATTCAATACATTTACAGTAGTGATTTAAAAAAATAAATAATCTTAGATGTCCTTCATATATGGAATTGTAACTAAATTGTTAATTACAAATATTTTTTTTGCTGTTTAAAAAAAAGTTGTGGGTTCAAGGTGCATTCAAATGTTTTATCTAAGGGACAAAATCTAACATTAAGAGCAAGTCTACATACCTTGAGCAAGGGGTACTGTGTCTGCGAGGTTGGGATAAACTTGTTCCTGAGCTTGTCTCTTGTTTTTCCCTTGGTTCTTTGGCATACAATGGACCGCGCTGCTTACGCACAGCGCAACCAGCAGCCCTGTCACTGGGCTACCAGTCATTTTGGTAAATTTAAGAAGAATAAAAAAATAGGACACTTTTACGTTTCCAGTTATGTCCTAAATAAAAATAAGAATGATCGAGGTGCCGTGAAGTTGACCGTCAGGAGCGGATAGTATTCTCTCCCCTTGCTTTCCAAATATTCCCCCGTTGCTGCTTTGACCGCCTTTCCTGCAGCCGACGCGATAGACCGACTGAAGGGATGCAGACCGTTTTTATATGTGAGCACAAAGGCACTGTTTGGGGGGAGGGGCAATGTGCGTCTGGTTCCAGGCGAGGACCACAGAGTAGTCACTTACTAACCATGCTAAACCGCAGACCGAGACCAAGAATGAAGACCTCACAAACAGAGTGTAGCACTAACATCCTGAGGCTGGGCTGGACTTGCTGGGCTGGGCAACCTGGACTCAGGGGTAGACATAACATAGTAAATGTAAACCTGTGATTCAAACACGCAACCTTTGGTTGGCTAGACGTTCCAGTTAAATGCCCACCCAACCTCCATCCTTTCGTTTTTGGCTTAAGTAACCATACTAAACATAACATATCATACTAATTTGAGAATCACAGATTTACATTTACTATGTTTCGTCTAGTCTTTGAGGTCAGGCTGGATAAATAGGCCTACTACAAAATCATCTGGTTTTAGAGTTAATTTATTTAACATATTTTCCCAAATTGATGGGAATCGAATCTGTTAAATCAGGAATAAAATATCTACCTAGGTCACTCAATAATGAGACCAGAGAGAGCAAACTTTAGCCATGATGGATGTTAAAGGGATAGTTCACCTAAAATACAAAATGACACATTGGTTTCCTTCTCCTGTAAGCAGTCTATGGACAATGACAGCAATCCATGCTTTGGTTTAGTTTCCCTGGCACTGTTTCCATATGCTAAGGTTTTAGCATTTGTGGCACAAATCCCATTCAAGTCATGGGACTGATATTAGCATTTTTCGTGCATCATGTTCAAAGCATCTGTAACTGACTTTGTTGAGCTTCACAATCAATTTGGATGATTTGGACATAATGCGCAAAAAATTATAATGGGATTTTTGCCACAAATGCTAAAACGTTAGCAGGTGGAAACAGTGCCAGGGAAACTAAACCAAAGCATGGATTGGTGTCATATCATGTCCATAGACTTACAGGATAAGGAAACCAATGTGTCATTTTGTAATTTGGGTGAACTATCTCTTTAAATGCCTACCCTCAGACAAACTTGGATTTATAGGCCTAATGATAATGACAGCCTAATGTTGATAGGCTAATCATGCTAAACTGGGCCTTTACAGAACAGTCAACGGGACCCACAATGACTTCGCTATCAAACATCGGCAATTCAAGCATGAAACAATTTTTTTGGGGGATAAAAGTATCATGATAAAACTAGGTCTGCAAGATTGCAGTCTCATTTTTGTTTGGACTTAAGAGTGACATGTTTTGGTAGGTTGATGGGGGATGAGAGGGGAGGGGGGGTTAGTGACAGCTCACCCCTGCATTCCATCACTGTTTAGAGGGTCAATGTTGACCCTAATGCACCCAGACTGGTTCACTGTTAGGGAGGAACTCAAGAGTTTTCATATTATCTACACTAAGTGGCATATTATTATTATTATTATTATTACATGAAACAGAAACAGTTTTAATGATATTAGCTACATTTATATTGATTGCATGAGAGCAATTATCCAAACATTATTTTGATGGAGAACTGTTTTGATATTGCCTCATTCTGTTGAATTATCATATACAGTTCTATCAGTACATTTGAGATGTTATGAATTGTGAAACATTTTGATACATCACAGTAAATCATTTGATAAACCCAGTCCAATCAATGTGGATAGCCTCCCTCCCTCCCTCCCTCCCTCCCTCCCTCCCCATCATCCCATCCCTCCTCCTGTTCCTCTTTTCTCCCGCTTGCCCCGCCTTCCAACACTTCTTTCCCCATCTTCTCCTCCTCAGTGTGTGTGTGTGTGTATGCGCGCTTGCATGTGGGTGTTTGTGCATGTGTGTGTGTGTGTGTGTGTGTGTGTGTGCGTGTGTGTGCGAGATAGTGTGTGTGTGAGCATTCGTGTGTGAAAGCAACAGAGCAAGAGGTGTTCATATGTTTGTCTGCCTCCTGCCCTTACAAAATAAATCAATGCTAATAGCACATTTTATAACGACAGAAAAGAAACACCTCTTTTCATGAGTCATGTTTGGTTGTCTGTGGTTGAGGTAACTTGCTCCCCAAATATTGTTACGCACTGATTAATCCCTCAGCTGAGGAAAGTAATGTTTTCCCAATGAAAGTAAGAAATCAAAATGGAAGAAAAAGACGACAGCGGGAGATGAGTGATGACACGCCTGGTTGTGGAAGTGGACTGTCAACCTGACAAAACCTCAAACGCTCGTTTTACGGTTGAACTGAGATTAGTCATGGTCCAGGTCTGGTCTGGTCTGGACGGTGGCTTCAGTACGGTAAGTCAGATCCGTGGTTGGGTGGGTTCCTGTAAGTGAACTCTTGGCACAAGCCTGGCACCAAATCCCAGTTCTGAAACACAAAAAAACGAAACTCTTCCTTGTTTTTAATATGGATGGTGAATCACTGAACCATTCACATGTGGAGAAAGCTGTGCGCCAAAAGTATCACATAGTTTCCATCCATGAATCAACTCCCAAACAACCAGGAGAGGGTAAAAACTGACATTTAAGGCTGCATGACTCCAGAACACTTAATACAAAAAGTGATCAAAACAAACTGCTGTGTAGTACATGCATAGACCTATAAACTAATGATGAATCACCTTCTGCTCCCATTGGGTCATTCAACCCTCATCTCCAACACAGTAGCATCAATCTCATGTCCCCTGTTAACTATCCCCCAGGTGATAGGTTGTCGATGGAAGTAACTTAGGTTGTACTGGGGTCAGGGTTAGGGTACTCCCTATACATACTTCTTGTCTCCCCTGAGTATGACCTCATTTCCTGTGCTGGAGGTTGTAACCCAAAGCCCCCTATGTCTGATTTATGACCAGTCCCTCTCTATAGCGCTGGACAGCAGCCTGGGTTGTGTCACAACTATCCCCCACCACGTCAACTCTGAGCCCAGCCAGAAACCCAGGTAGGGTAGATCAGAATTTAGTCTCTGGTTCGTCTCTGGTTCATCTTTAGATACGTTTTTTTGCAGTCATTTAGGGCCAGTTACCCGGACACAAATATCCTAGTCCTGGCAGTAGTTAGAGACATAGAACCTGAAAAATAACTATGGTGTCATGCTAGGGACAAACTGTTCTATCAATCTCTCTCTCTCTCTCTCTCTCTCTCTCTCTTCTTCTTCTTCTTCTTCTTCTTCTTCTTCTTCTTCTTCTTCTTCTTCTTCTTCTTCTTCTTCTTCTTCTTCTTCTTCTTCTTCTTCTTCTAGCCTCACTCTGTTCCTGACCCTGCCTGAGCAAACTGAGGACGGACTGCAAGGGGAGCATCCATCTGTCCCAGAGCCTGTTTGACAACTGGCTGGAGAGGTGACACGACCACTCACACACACGTCTGCCTCGGGGGCTCCAGCCGGGTGGCTCGGGGTGTTCAATCAAAATGTGCATCAAGAAGTCTTCTAAAAGAGAGCATGCAAGTTTATGCGTTATGGTTTTTATCTCGAATGATTGAAAACATTTCTTGTTCCATTGTTACAAAACAGTTGACATAAAACACAGAACTCAGTGGCATTTTGCAAAACAAGAATGATAAAAGCATTTTTGTAATTTTATTTTTCGTTTTCCGAGATGGCGTAGCAGTGCAGTCGTGTTCTCTTGTGTGTCCATGTAAATAGCCAGTTGTTTTTAATTTTTTTAATTTTACGTATATATTTCCCTATCACACTTTTCATCCTTCTACTAAATATACTTTCCTGCAACCCGCCTCACTCAATGTAAAACGGATTCTATAATTTACTCAACTTTATCTAGAATCTCCAGTTGAAATTAGCCAGCCAGCTAACTAGCTAACTAGCTACTTGCTATTAGCCACCGTTAGCGGTTTTCACCCAGAACATCGGATTTTCTGCCAGAATAACTGAATCACTGGACCTTAACACCGGATCGCAACTAGCTAGCCGCAACCGAATGGATGTCGAATGGATGTTGCTGTAGGCTAATCACCACTGCCCCCGAAGCAAGCATCAGTTAACCTTGAGCTAGCCTCGAGCAGGCCCATATCCCGGCTATCTACCTCTCTGTCTACCGGACGGGAGTAGCCAGCTAACCAGCTAACTAGCTACTTGCTATTAGCCACCGTTAGCGGTTTTTCACCATTGTCCGTGGCCTGCACTACCTACCAGCCAGCTCTAGCCTGGACGATTATCGACCAGTCTGCACTGTCTGCACAGCGCGTTATCGACCCAGAACCTATCAGATTTTCTGCCGGGATCACTGAATCACTGGACCTTTAACACTGGATAATTGCAACTAGCTAGCTGCAACTAAATGAACGTTGTTGTTGGCTAATCAGCCTTGAGCTAGCCTTGAGTCAGGCACATCTCCCGGCTATCTACCTCTCTGTCAACCGGACGGGACCTCCTAGAGTCGACACGGAGCCCCGCCGATCCATCACGACTGGTCTGCCGACGTAATCGTCTGTGGTTTCAACAGGCTTCCCGTTGCGACGACCACGAAGATCCATCTGCTAGCCCCAGCCCGCTAGCACACGCAAACGACAGCCGTGTTTCATGATCGCTGTGCTGTAGTACCAATTCGAACTGCTCTCGGACTAACATATTGCTGTTCACTGGACCTTATGATCACTCAGCTGCACAGCTGATGACTGCTGGACTGTTCCTTTACACAGTACCCTGTCCTGTTTATCTGTTTAGCCTCAGCCCAAACTTTATCGCCATTACCAGTTGTTGTCTTAGCTCTCTCTAATAACACCTGTGATTGCTTTATGCCTCTCTCCCATGTCAATATGCCTTGCCTATTGCTGTTCCAGTTAGTTCTTATTATACTATTTCACTGTAGAACCCCATGTCACTCTCAAACTGCCTCAAATAGTTACTTTGTTCAACCCCCCATACACGCCGAGACCGGCTCAATCGGTGCCTCCAGTGATGCTATCTCTTTCATTGTTACCCAACGCTTAGGTTTACGTCCACTGTACTCATATCCTTCCATATCCTTGTCTGTACATAATGCCCTGAATCT